ACTAAGTGTTATCATCATTGTTGTGGTCTTTTGTTGCCATTCCATCCATCTTCATTGTTGATGTATGTACAAATTGATTTGCTTGTGTGATTTATGTTGATATTGATTTTTTTTTTGACACTATATATAGACACTGTCATGCTTGAGTTAACAACCCTATTGAGATGATTTTTCTTTGACACTGTATATAGACACTGTCATGCTTGAGTTAACAACCCTATTGAGATGATTTTTCTTTGACACTATATATAGACACTGTCATGCTTGAGTTAACAACCCTATTGAGATGATTTTTCTTTGACACTTTTATATAGACACTGTCATGCTTGAGTTAACAACCCTATTGGGATGATTTTTCTCTTACACTATATATAGACACTGTCATGCTTGAGTTACCAACCCTATTGGGATGATTTTTCTTTGACACTATATATAGACACTGTCAAGCTTGAGTTACCAACCCTATTGGGATGATTTTTCTTTGACACTGTATATAGACACTGTCATGCTTGAGTTAACAACCCTATTGGGATGATTTTTCTTTTTATTAATTCCATCCATCATGTCTTCTAAAGCTTCAAATTATAAGACTTTTACCAATGTTTTTATTACCTCCCTTTGAAGTATGTGTTGCTTATGAATTCCACATTCCATGCTCGTTATTGATGTTTAAAGTAATTATAAAGGACCAGATACTGTAAACATATATATACTGTTCAGAGATATACACAGCAAAATCTCTTTCCTTCAAACTCCAACTGTTTCTAGTATTTTTGTAATTTCACATTAAATGACTTTTACCTGTCATAAGATACGTATAACAGGAGCCAGTTACTGATGATGAGCTTTAAACTACAATTTTTTTGTGAGCATCTTCATCTTAAGGTTTGTACTTGATTAAGGTGTTATGCCAGTATTAAATAGTCCTTTCAGAGTGCTGTTCTTTGTAATTTCTCTCCCGTCCATTGAGTTACTGCTGTGGTACTCATTTCTTTTTTCTTTTTTTTTTTTTTAATTTTTTTACCAAAACCTGCTTTGTTTGTTTATACAACACATTTTGTTTATGATATATTTACTGTTGCTGTATCTACTTGTGATATTTTTTTATTTTAATTGGCACAAATTGGGTAATCTCCCCTAACACAAGTTGTCAGTGATCAATCTACAATGTATTTCATTATAACTTTTCAACTTTATTGCTAAAAACAATGGGTCCCTCAATGTAAGATTCAAGCATTTCCAGAAACGCTTAGAGTCCCATGAAAATTCTGTAAGTTCAGGACTTAGGACTGGCATGTACATTTATCACCAGTTGTACATGTGTATATACATTCTGTCGTGGAGTATGTTCTGATCAGTTGTGTTTGTTCTGAACACTGTAACATGTAGTAAAGCAGTGAAGTTTTTATTGTGCTGGAAGGGTTTTGTTTATAGATTAACCTATTTTATTTTGGTGCAGGTTTATGTTGTGTTTGTTGGTTAGAACTACGCATATTGTGGTAACTGTTTGAGTTTTAATCTGTGTTTTAACCTTGGAATCCTATCTTGTACTAAGCCTGGACACAATCCTTGTGTTGATGTAAGACCTGTTTTTAAACATCTCAAATTTTATTCAGTATCCTCTCTGTTGAATGTCTCATTCTGCCGCCCAGCAAACTGTCAAATAGACAGAAAGCAAAATCTCCTTACCTTTAAAGACAAATTGAACTAATTGTCTGTAATGTTTCCCAAAAAGTTTTTGAAAAATTAAAAAAAAAAAAAAAAAAAATGCTAGCTTCAACTGACATGTTGCATGGCCCCAAGAACCAGGTCAAAGTTTGAAAAGATTGTACAAAGACACTTTTCCACATTTAGATTCAGAATTAGATACAGTAGAGTCAAACAATGAATTCAGCTACATCAAACAGCTGTTTCATCCTTCTAAGATTTGTCAGTGATGCTAGGGGCCTTAATTGTTAAAACATATGAGGGAATGAGGAAAATCCAAGGTGATAAAAATAATTAAAAACCATTTGAGGCGGAGCATAGATTTCAAAATTGATATTTTAAGTTTTCAGTGTCAAATTTTAAAGTAAAACCAAGTACATGTGAATATCCAGAGTCATGCCACTATTTGAATGAATTAAACTGTACCGAGAACAATCCCCCTTCACAAACCATTGAGAAGATTTCCATGTTTTGTAACCCTTGATTGTGCCAAACCATACTTTGTGATAAGTTGACATGCATTGTTGTGATTTATCGTATTTATTATTTATTAGTTTTTTGTGTTTGTGTATGTATATTGTATTTTTTTTCTATTTATTAGCAGAATACAGAACTCTTTGTACAAGTGTATTAATTTTATACATTGTTTAGCTAGAACTTTTGTTTACTTGAATTAAATGTTGTTCATATTTTGTTTATGTTGTAGTATTTTTTTTAGCACATTTTCAATCTTTCAAACATTATTTCTTCTTCTCAGTCACTTTAAACTCATTTGAATGTGTTATCTCTAATTCAGCTTGTTTTTATTTAAAAACTACAACTTCAAATGAAATCAATCATTATTATGGTCAGTTTGAAGCAGTGCAATGGACCGTGTCTAGGACAGGGTCACTCGCTTCTGTAACAGGGTCAGCAGTGCAATGAACCATGTCCAGAACAGTCTGTTTCCGTCCTGGTAGATTATTTGTTAATTGTCTTCAACAGGGTATAGTGGTCAGCGTCTATAATGGGCTATGTTTTTTAAGTAACCTGTATCTGTTATATAAAGGATGGTAGATTCTACACAAAATAGTTTGGTAAATATGACCTGGACGATTGAAATAAGAAAGCCTCCACACATAAGATAAAAGAGAAAAAAATCAGAAATGTAAAAATTGCTTTTAGGTTGCAGTAACCAATTTCTACATGACATGGTTTTCTGAGCTCTGCCTACAATTCTTACTGTTAAATCTGTAATAAAATAGAAGAAATCCCCCAAAACAGATTCTGGACAGACTGTACAGACAGAAGTTAACATTCTATAAATCCCTCATTTCCAAAGAGGCGGTATAAAAACGAAAACAATGAAATTCACTTTAACAAATTTATTCATGATCATGTGATTGCATAGTGAATATCCAATCCAAAATTCTCATAAAAATATAAGTAAAATATTGGACCACTACATCTTCATGAAGAAAACTGGTATAATGTTAGCCGGCCGCAAAAATATATATAGTGTACATGTAATGATGATTCCGTATAATTTCTAAAACGCAGATGTCTTTGTGATAAATGAGTCTAAATAGGCCCTTTTTTGAAGGTCAGATAATATTAGTCTGTTCCAGATGGTATAAGACTCTTGATACCCATGAGAATTAATTTATCTCATAACATCTTTAAATCAAAACTCTGATCTGTAAACACATAATGATCTTGTAAAGTGGTACTACAGCACAGAACTTTGATCTGTTAACACACAAAATGATCTCGTAAAGTGGTACTACAGCACAAAACTTTGATCTGTTAACACACAGTGATCTCGTAAAGTGGTACTACAGCACAAAACTTTGATCTGTTAACACACATAATGATCTTGTAAAGTGGTACTACAGCACAAAACTTTGATCTGTTAACACACAGTGATCTCGTAAAGTGGTACTACAGCACAAAACTTTGATCTGTTAACACACAAAATGATCTCGTAAAGTGGTACTACAGCACAAAACTTTGATCTGTTAACACACAGTGATCTCGTAAAGTGGTACTACAGCACAACAGACTGATCAGTGAACAAAACATTGTAATCATCGTTGACTAATTTTAAGTAAATGACATGAAAATATAATAGGTAGCACTGCATAGAAAAATTAAAGGTAAAAGACACGGCCCTTTTTTTATTTCGTTGATGTAAAATATTCCTGAAGTATTACTATATACCCGTTATAGGAGAACACCTACCATGTAGAGTCAGGACAAACAATGAGATTTCTCAGACTTACAGAAGCGATGATGGATCAGGGTTTATATGGCAACCAAAACACCGTGTTAATGCTATTATTGTACAGCTGCCAGAAATCATAACATATGGATGGTTTTTAATTTGAATTTAATATCTATATATATATATGACTTCTTCCACCTGCACACGATACAACCTAGCCAAATACAGGACTGATATGGTCACAATACAACCAGAACAAGTCAACCACTATAAAAAAAAATGATGTGCATTATAAAATGGCAGAATTCTGCAGTCAATACTGTATATAATGAGGTATGATTATAGCAAGTGGTGAACTGATCATTCAATCTGATCCTGATATCAAGTCATCATGAGTCCAGTCTGATCTTGATATCCAGTCATCATGAGTCCAGTCTGATCTTGATATCCAGTCATCATGAGTCCAGTCTGATCCCCATATCCAGTCATCATGAGTCCAGTCTGATCTATCCAGTCATATCCAGTCATATCATCATCATGAGTCCAGTCTGATCTGATCTTGATCATGAGTCCAGTCTGATCTTGATATCCAGTCATCATGAGTCCAGTCTGATCTTGATATCCAGTCATCATGAGTCCAGTCTGATCTTGATATCCCATCATCCAGTCATCATGAGTCCAGTCATCATGAGTCCAGTCTGATCCCCATATCCAGTCATCATGAGTCCAGTCTGATCTTGATATCCAGTCATCATGAGTCCAGTCTGATCTTGATATCCAGTCATCATGAGTCCAGTCTGATCCCCATATCCAGTCATCATGAGTCCAGTCTGATCTTGATATCCAGTCATCATGAGTCCAGTCATCCCCATATCCAGTCATCATCATGAGTCCATGATCCAGTCATCATGAGTCTCTGATCTTGATATCCAGTCATCATGAGTCCAGTCTGATCTTGATATCCAGTCATCATGAGTCCAGTCTGATCCCCATATCCAGTCATCATGAGTCCAGTCTGATCCCCATATCCAGTCATCATGAGTCCAGTCTGATCTTGATATCCAGTCATCATGAGTCCAGTCTGATCCCCTTATCCAGTCATCATGAGTCCAGTCTGATCCCCATATCCAGTCATCATGAGTCCAGTCTGATCTTGATATCCAGTCATCATGAGTCCAGTCTGATCTTGATATCCAGTCATCATGAGTCCAGTCTGATCCCCAAATCCAGTCATCATGAGTCCAGTCTGATCCCCATATCCAGTCATCATGAGTCCAGTCTGATCTTGATATCCAGTCATCATGAGTCCAGTCTGATCTTGATATCCAGTCATCATGAGTCCAGTCTGATCCCCATATCCAGTCATCATGAGTCCAGTCTGATCCCCATATCCAGTCATCATGAGTCCAGTCTGATCCCCATATCCAGTCATCATGAGTCCAGTCTGATCTTGATATCCATCATGTCATCATGAGTCCAGGCTGATCTTGATATCCAGTCATCATGAGTCCAGTCTGATCCCCATATCCAGTCATCATGAGTCCAGTCTGATCCCCATATCCAGTCATCATGAGTCCAGTCTGATCTTGATATCCAGTCATCATGAGTCCAGTCTGATCCCCATATCCAGTCATCATGAGTCCAGTCTGATCTTGATATCCAGTCATCATGAGTCCAGTCTGATCCCCATATCCAGTCATCATGAGTCCAGTCTGATCCCCATATCCATATCCAGTCATCATGAGTCCAGTCTGATCTTGATATCCAGTCATCATGAGTCCAGTCTGATCCCCATATCCAGTCATCATGAGTTCAGTCTGATCTTGATATCCAGTCATCATGAGTCCAGTCTGATCTTGATATCCAGTCATCATGAGTCCAGTCTGATCTTGATATCCAGTCATCATGAGTCCTGTCTGATCTTGATATCCAGTCATCATGAGTCCAGTCTGATCTTGATATCCAGTCATCATGAGTCCAGTCTGATCCCCATATCCAGTCATCATGAGTCCAGTCTGATCTTGATATCAAGTCATCATGAGTCCAGTGATCCCCATATCAGTCATCATGAGTCCAGTTGTCATCCCCTGATATCCAGTCATCATGAGTCCAGTCTGATCCCCATATCAAGTCATCATGAGTCCAGTCTGATCCCCATATCAAGTCATCATGAGTCCAGTCTGATCCCCATATCAAGTCATCATGAGTCCAGTCTGATCCCCATATCCAGTCATCATGAGTCCAGTCATCATGAGTCCAGTCTGATAATGATATCCAGTCATCATGAGTCCAGTCTGATGTCCAGCCATCACCTGTCTGATCCCCGATATCCAGTCATCATGATGTCCAGCCATCACCTGTTGGAACCCGATGTCCAGCCATCACCTGTTGGAACCCGATGTCCAGCCATTTCCAGTCCACATTCCAACCAGTGTTCCTGAATAGTTTTCCTATACAAAACAGTTTGTCTTTCTTCCATTAAGCAATCTTCAGGCATGTGAGAGTTTCATCACATGCTAAACATAGTTGCACTGTAGTAAATTCCAAACAATTTCAACCAGTTTTGATTTTACATCATCGTGCATGAAATGCTTGGTTAGCATTATACAGGTATAAAACCTTTGTTCTGTGCACACTTGGTATTGACAAAAAAAACCAGTCACGCACTCGCTTAAAAATAAATCTCTGAAGGACGACGGAGGATGTCGTCCATGTCCACAATTACCTGGGTAATACCGTCTTCTGAGTAAAAATACAGGTTCTGACAAACAAGAGGCCGGAGAGCCTTAATGGTCAACTGAGTTACAATGCTGTTTAACTTGTAAACAAAGATATCTTGAACTACACAAAACACACAATGCAAACATTAACTGTGCCTAAGACAAATTACTGTCCCATGCTGAGGATTCTAACCACATTTGAATTCAAACATGTTATGCTCAAAAATGTAGTTTTCCTATATAAACTATAATGAATTTACCCACAATGGGAAATGTGAGGCCCTGATGTCATCAAATTCATAATTCTGATAAAGCGCCATAAGACCCTTCCATCCATGAAGAGTACCTAATTACACACAGGTGTTGAGAAGCTGACATTCTTCTTCTCCACCCCTTTTGGCAGGGTTTTTTAGCACCGTTTTGTGATAGGGCATTTTTGCCTCATTTTGGGCAGAAAACTGGTGTAAAGGAGAAGGAAATTTTAAGAGTTTACTGCAAATTCCGGGAATTCAACATAATTATGAAATGACTTCCAACGGAGAATGCAGCCCATTATCAGAACCAAAATGTTTGGCCCTGCCCCACAATGTCCGACAAATTAAGGTCACGATGGATCTCTGGAGACCTCAAAATAGCGATGATAAATTTTCATATAAGATCACCACCTGTCAGCCATCTTGTTTTTCTGCTCAATCCCGAAATCAGAAGAACTTAACCTAGGGTGTTTGGGGAACCTACACATGAAATTTGAGAATGATCCATTCAGTACTTCTCCAAGAAATGTTTACAGCAGGACAGATGGACAACGGATGAAGCATGGACCACAGACATATGGCAAGCAACTGATGGTGGAATAAAAATATTTAAAGCAATATTTCATTCAGAATTAATGCAATGAAAACATACAACATGAGAAGGATGGGTACACAAGATTAAAGCTTTTTATACAAAATGCAATTGTAAAAAAAAAAAATACTTGATTGTGAAGTTTGTAAGAAATGTGACTTAAAGCTGATCATTCCACTTAATACTAAGTATGATTACTGTTAGTTATACATGAACACCACCCAAGTCCTGTCCACACTGACTGATGACTCACTCGGCTTACAAGAGTTTGAGTGTTATCCTTCACAAAAAGCAAGTTTCAAATGTATTTACCGACACTTATATCCCTAGGAACACATGCATTACATATATATGTTTTATACATTTGCAAAAATCCAGGCAATTTTCTTGAATTCATTTTGAAATAATTATCAAAATAAAAATTGCTTATATTAAACAACCAATTGACGATTTGTAAACACTTGTTTACAATCCTGTAGCAAGTATGAACTAGTGTAAACAACAGAGGGAGTACTGTAAGGTCGATTTGTTTTTATAAGTGGATCAGATTTCATGGTTTTACTATTCTAAAGCAAAAATTATCTATCATGGACATCGACAAACAGATCAATGTTGTTCCATGGTATGTATTTTGTCCACTTTTTTCCATTACAGATACCATAGAAAAGTGGAAAACTTGACATTCACAGTCTGTGAACAAAATAAATCTCCCCACTTTTATGTCATGACAACATATGTGAAAAGTCATGAAAACTACCCAATTTAATAGTAGTGGGGCTCCATATCTGATTTACCGATATCCCAATGGGCTGTATTCCCTTACAAAGGGAACTGTAGGTGACCTAAAATACTGTATAACATGAAATGTTTGCAAGCGACTTCTTTCATGGTTTAAACCTAAGGCATCCCTTCACAGGTAAAAACTTTCCTGGTTTAAACCTAAGGCATCCCTTCACAGGTAAAAACTTTCCTGGTTTAAACCTAAGGCATCCCTTCTTTCCTGGTTTAAACAGGCTTTCCTGGTTTAAACCTAAGGTATCCCTTCACAGGTAAAAACTTTCCTGGTTTAAACCTAAGGCATCCCTTCACAGGTAAAAACTTTCCTGGTTTAAACCTAAGGTTTAAACCTAAGGCATCCCTTCACAGGTAAAAACTTTCCTGGTTTAAACCTAAGGCATCCCTTCACAGGTAAAAACTTTCCTGGTTTAAACCTAAGGTATCCATTCACAGGTAAAAACTTTCCTGGTTTAAACCTAAGGCATCCCTTCACAGGTAAAAACTTTCCTGGTTTAAACCTAAGGTATCCCTTAAAAGATAAAAACTTTCCTGGTTTAAACCTAAGCCATCCCTTCACAGGTAAAAACTTTCCTGGTTTAAACCTAAGGCATCCCTTCACAGGTAAAAACTTTCCTGGTTTAAACCTAAGGCATCCCTTCACAGGTAAAAACTTTCCTGGTTTAAACCTAAGGCATCCCTTCACAGGTAAAAACTTTCCTGGTTTAAACCTAAGGCATCCCTTCACAGGTAAAAACTTTCCTGGTTTAAACCTAAGGCATCCCTTCACAGGTAAAAACTTTCCTGGTTTAAACCGAAGGCATCCCTTCACAGGTAAAAACTTTCCTGGTTTAAACCTAAGCCATCCCTTCACAGGTAAAAACTTTCCTGGTTTAAACCTAAGGCATCACCTTTCCTGGTTTAAACAGGTCCAAAGGTAAAAACTTTCCTGGTTTAAACCTAAGGCATCCCTTCACAGGTAAATCTTTCCTGGTTTAAACCTAAGGTATCCATTCACAGGTAAAAACTTTCCTGGTTTAAACCTAAGGCATCCCTTCACAGGTAAAAACTTTCCTGGTTTAAACCTAAGGCATCCCTTCACGGGTAAAAACTTTCCTGGTTTAAACCTAAGGCATCCCTTCACGGGTAAAAACTTTCATGGATGTCACATAACTACACACATCATTCTTTAATCTGAAGTCTTATTTGTGACATTTTATTTTCATGTTCATTTTCATTGTCAGTAGTCATGAAAACAATGGCTGTAATCACACCTGAAACATTTCATGTTATGCAGATACAATATTACCAGGTGAAGAAGTGAAAATTATACAAATTGACTGACAGGCTGAGAGTAAATTTCATGTAGATTACAGTTTTAGATGTCCAGTGACACATACAAAACAAAATGTTATCAGGACTGACTGCCCTACAACCTGGAATTACGATGTGAGCCACACACACATTAGAAGATGTATTCCAGACTGACAAATGTTTACACAAACAGCTATGCACTCATTAGTTGTAGTCTGGCCCAACGGCTCTAAGCACCCCGCCTACAAGATGAAGACTTCCTGTGATCAGGACCTGTATATGGGCAGGGTCCCTTAAGTCTTCAGGAATCTCATTTAAATCAAGTTCATTATCATCGACAACTAGTGGGTCACGACCTTGGGTGGCCCACTGAAGTGCATTATATATAGATGGAAAGACTTTAGAATTAACATCCATTTCACATGTTAAAGGACAATCACAGTCAATTTGTTCAGATTTCTGACTGGATGCATCAACAGATTCATTATTTATCACAGATTTGGAGAGGCTATCTTCATGATCACTAGAAACTTCATTTGGCAATCTTGAAGAATTCTGATTTCCTGATTGTGACATAGTATCGCCATTGTGGTTTGTTTTTAATCTCTTATTGGCCCCGTTTGTTTGTCCTTTTGAGTTCCTGTTTTGAAGTGTACGTTTAGAAGAAAAGTTGGTGATCCCATCTGTGAAAGCTGCCTCGGAGGTTCTCGACTGATAAACGTTTATCCAGCATTCCTTGTTCTGGAGACACCTGGAATGTTGGCTCTCTGTAGTGACTGTGTTGTTAGTGAGATCTACAAGTACATAACATAAAGTATTAGATTATATATATCTTAAGTGAGGCAGTATTCTTTTCACTGATTATGTTAAAAAAAAAACGTTCAGATGTCACAGAGTATAAAAAGCTCCATATAATTACTACAAAATGACACTATCAAAGTATATATATATATAATTTGTGTCAGTTAAAATACGGCATTTACTGACGGAGGGGCTTTACAAAAAGTATGGGTACAACATTAATTTTTTGTTAATGTACACCTGTATAATATTCTATATAAAACCCAACTTACACAAAGTGGAGAAAATCATACAAAGCATCCCAAAAGGTTAATTAGCTATTTTACTGATAAGGTTAATTTTAAAGGTATATTTGTCGCTATTATCAAGTATAGGATAAAACAATATAAAACAGACATACGCAAAAAAGAAAAAAAATGGTCAGAAAGCCTGAGAGTTAAGTGTTATCCATTTTGCTTCCATCTTTTATCAAAAATACAAAAATTTTGAACCACCACAAATTTTACTTGTCTACATTGTGTAACACTAAGGAATATTTTATATTTTTCTTACATAAAATCATCTTGCCATATCTCAGATCACAACAACCATCACAAGATTCTATTTCTCCTAAACAAAAAGCACTAATCAAACAGGAAGGCATATATTACTGAGAAGCTTGATGTTGATTCTTGTCGTAAGCTCATTTGATGTCATTTCAGTTAGAGAAGCAACAAATAATGTTTTTTTGAAGCCGACGACTGGCAAAACATAAGTTTGGTTCTACTTGTCAGTACTATGTATCAGTTGTCCCTGACCACATCTTCCTTTCGAATTCCACCAACACCAGGGCCTGTATTCATGAAACCATTCTCATGCTCACGCATAGATTTTGTGCTCGAGCAAACTTTTTTATAATTCACGTAAATCATATAAAATAATACACATGTCAAACATAAACATTGAATTTAGCTTTGACTTTGAAGTCCTTTCAAAACTGTTTTTAAATCTTTTGCAAAATCAGCCTTATCTATTAATTTTTAACTTAAACAAGACATAAGGCTTGACCACAAAATTCATGCTTGAGCGTGAGAAGAGTTTCATGAATACGGGCCCTGGTATCTTTATACTGATACTAGTTCTGTTACAATTATATGTGTAAAGATTTAATTTGACACCGACACTAAAGAACTATCTAGCTGTGGATATCATTGAGACACTTTGGTTTGGTAACTAGCAGTTGATACCATCACCTTGCAATACAAATCCATCACAATTCATGGCAATGAATTTATGAACAGATTACCTCAGCATTGAATGAATGTGAGTGGCACTGGAGTAATACTGGAGTGGATAGGGAGTGGCACTGGAGTAATACTGGAGTGGATAGGGAGTGGCACTGGAGTAATACTGGAGTGGATAGGGAGTGGCACTGGAGTAATACTGGAGTGGAATGTGAGTGGCACTGGAGTAATACTGGAGTGGAATGGAAGTGGTACATGGGTGGAATGGAAGTGGTGATTGAGTGGAAAATGAATGGCACTGGAGTGGAATGCCAGTAGTACTAGAGTGGAAATGAAATAGTACTGTGGTGGAATGGGAGTGGTCCTGGAATCAAATAGAAGCTCTGATTGGGTGGAAAATGAATGAATGGGTGGAATGGAATGGAAGTGGTGGTTGAGATTAATAGAATAAGATTGCCACTGGGACTGGACTGTCTGTGATACTGGATTTGAGTTGTAATAGACTTGAGTCGAAGTGGAATGTTATCAGAGTAGAGATGAGATTAACTGAGCTGGAATGGAGTGATAGTGGGTTGAATTGAATCAGGAGATCTGACAACAATTAGGGATTGAGTTGGAGATACTTTGGTGTGATAACATGATTGGAGCTGGAATAAAGCAAAATCTGTATTTGAGATCAGGCCTGATTTTCAAATCAGGAATTCTGATGTGGGTGCAGTAGAATGGTGTATTAGGAAAAAAAGCATAAAAGAAAGTGTTTCTCTTACCTCCATTCTTCCCTAACAAAATTTATAAAATATATCTAGTACAAAAGAAATGATCTACAAACTTGTGACAAACCTTAGCTCACTATCAACAAACCAATCAAACTTTACTTAGTGGGAACTTTTAATCTTCTACAATTTCGAATTAATCTAATCTTAGGTATAAATCACCAATTTAACTTCATCAAACTGGACAACAAGGTATGATTTACCTCACTTTAGGAAACAAATAAGTTATGATTTGCCTCGATCATTTTAGGAAATAAGTTATGATTTGCCTCGATCATTTTAGGAAATAAGTTATGATTTGCCTCGATCATTTTAGGAAATAAGTTATGATTTGCCTCGATCATTTTAGGAAATAACAAGGTATGATTTACCTCACTTTAGATCATTTTAGGAAAACAAGTTATGATTTGCCTCACTTTAGATCATTTTAGGAAATAAGGTATGATTTGCCTCACTTTAGATCATTTTAGGAAATAAGTTATGATTTACCTCATTTTAGGAAATAACAAGGTATGATTTACCTCATTTTAGGAAACAACAAGGTATGATTTACCTCATTTTAGGAAACAACAAGGTATGATTTACCTCACTTTAGGAAACAACAAGGTATGATTTACCTCATTTTAGGAAACAACAAGGTATGATTTACCTCACTTTAGGAAACAACAAGGTATGATTTACCTCACTTTAGGAAACAACAAGGTATGATTTACCTCATTTTAGGAAACAACAAGGTATGATTTACCTCACTTTAGGAAACAACAAGGTATGATTTACCTCACTTTAGGAAACAACAAGGTATGATTTACCTCACTTTAGGAAACAACAAGGTATGATTTACCTCATTTTAGGAAACAACAAGGTATGATTTACCTCACTTTAGGAAACAACAAGGTATGATTTACCTCATTTTAGGAAACAACAAGGTATGATTTACCTCATTTTAGGAAACAACAAGGTATGATTTACCTCACTTTAGGAAACAACAAGGTATGATTTACCTCATTTGGAAATAACAAGGTATGATTTACCTCACTTTAGAAACAACAAGGTCATTTTAGGAAACAACAAGGTATGATTTGCCTCGATCATTTTAGGAAACAACAAGGTATGATTTACCTCACTTTAGGAAACAACAAGGTATGATTTACCTTTTAGGAACAACAAGGTATGATTTACCTCATTTTAGAAACAACAAGGTTTTTAGGAAACAACAAGGTATGATTTACCTCATTTAGGAAACAACAAGGTTTTTACCTCAATTTAGGAAACAACAAGGTATGATTTACCTCACTTTAGGAATCAACAAGGTATGATTTACCTCATTTTAGGAAACAACAAGGTATGATTTACCTCACTTTAGGAAAAAACAATTTATGAATTATTTTATTTGAAGAGACAATCCTTTTTGATTATCTTGTGTTAGAACACTACCTGCTACAATATACCTCATTTCAGGTAACTAACAGTTATAATTTCTTATTTCAAAGGACAACTCGTTATAACTTATATATTTGAGGACTCTCAGTTATAATTGACCTAATTTTAGGAAACTACCAGTTATAATTTATGTTATTTTAGGGGACTACCAGTTACAATTTACCTTGGTTTAGGCGTAATATGTAAAACAGTCGACTACCAATCACAGAGTGTCTTGTTTACCAGGTATTTGACGTAATGGGGGTGTAATTGACGACAGTATTATGTGTTATCTACATCTACCTGCTATGTATAATGATATTTATACAAGTTTAACACAATAATAGTTAAAGGGGGTGTAATAGAAGACAGTAACATGTGGTATAAAAGAAAAATGTTTATACCCCTTACTTCTAAAACTGTATAAGTATGGATGATACCAGTACCAAAGGGCATACCCCTTGATGGAAATCATACACGATTTCAGATGTTAAATAATGATTGATTTCTAGACTAAGGAGTGCCAGAATGTAAACCCACGAAATCTTTGTTGTGGGATGAATGCGTCATACATACCTAAAGTGTTGCAATTGCTGAAGGCAATATTTGGACAGAATGCAGCCAGGTCAAACTGACAATCCTGAAATAAAAGTTAAATTAACACTCATCACTTTACACTGGACTATTACATAATAATTCACATCTTCACTTAATCCAGTTCAGGCGCGGTTAAAAATGTTCCAACTTCCATGTTACTAGAGATACATATCTATATAGTTGTCAATCTACACACAAATCATGTTAATCTGTATTTTCTCAGATGAGCAGAATAAGAATTTAGACATAAACAGTCAGTAATTGTACAATTTTTTCTAAACTTGTACTGATGAGAAAGAACTTTACATTCCCTTTCCACATTCATTTTTTATCTCTGTTCCAGAGGTCCAAAAATTGTAAACGTTATGTTGGTACTTACGGTAAGTGGTGTTATCAGGATGGATGGATCCCGATCTCCTGTTGTGTTAAATATAATCACCTTGACAACCTTTCCTCTGCACACAAAAGTAAACATTTTAACAGTATAATTCAACCAATCATTTCATATTATTCAACTGATCACTTCATATTATTCAACCAATCATTTCATATCATTCTACAAATCATTTCATGATATTCAACCAATCATATTATTCAACCAATCATTTCATATTATTCAACCGATCACTTCATATCATTCAACCAATCATTTCATGATATTCAACCAATCATTTTATTCAACCAATCATTTCATTTTATTCAACCGATCACTTCATATTATTCAACCAATCATTTCATATCATTCTACAAATCATTTCATGATATTCAACCAATCATATTATTCAACCAATCACTTCATATCATTCAACCCATCACTTCATATTATTCAACCAATCATTTCAATATCAAAACTTTTTGGGAAAGACAATAAAGAAATGAAAAATATAAATAATGAAAACTAAAAACCAAACAAAAGAAGCACTGTTGTTTTAAATGTCTCATTTGAATTTAAGTAACTGTAAAGTAAAATAAAATCTCTACCTTATAGTGTCAGCTTCTTGTTCAGATACAGACTGAAACCACTCAACACATTGCTGTAACAGAAAAACCATCTCGTACAGACGATAGTAATTACACTTAAAGTTATGACTTCAGGGACCAAAATACAACATAAAATGTTATAAGATTTTAAAATATACACCTTTACGGTATAGTAAATATACCTGTAACCATCTGTATGTAATATTTACCTCCATACTTTCTAAGGTGTGAGCTCCATCCAGGTAATAAGTCAGTCGGTGTTTTTTTATAGATTGATTTCGACCAGCCCACTTACACAAAGCTAGACCTGTAAGAGATTTAATCATGTAATTAAACCTGTACAGTTAGAAATAGATCTGTTCAAAACTTATACACAATTTTATACATCTGATAGCTCTGACACATAAAACAGTAGCAGGCTTCTGTTTTTAATATACTGGCATATACAGTTGTAGAAGATTCATGTTATTTTAACTACACACATAAAATAGTAGGACAGTCATCTCTGTTTTACCTACTCATACATAAAATGGTGGGACAGTCATCTCTGTTTTACCTACTGACACATAAAATGGTGGGTCAGTCATCTCTGTTTTACCTACTGACACATAAAATGGTGGGACAGTCATCTCTGTTTTACCTACTGACACATAAAATGGTGGGACAGTCATCTCTGTTTTACCTACTGACACATAAAATGGTGGGTCAGTCATCTCTGTTTTACCTACTGACACATAAAATGGTGGGTCAGTCATCTCTCACCACTATCAGATGATTGTCAGAAGAAATGTTACTTACCCTGACACATTTCTTCATCTCTGTTACACTGACACATAAAATGGTGGGACAGTCATCACACTCACATAAAATGGTGGGACAGTCATCTCTGTTTTACCTACTGACACATAAAATGGTGGGACAGGGTATAACTTGGCTTCTGGCCTCGGAAATGGAGGAGTGGATTCCATTTTGTACTACAGAAGTATGGAAAGAACTTTACTTACAAAGACATTAATTGCCCCGTTCTCTACCAAGTTATTGTATCATCAATCCTCTATCCAGTAATTATCTCCCTTCTTCTATACTCACTAATTACCTCCCCTATTCTCTTCCCAGTAATTACATTCCTTATCCTCTATCTACTAATTACCTCCTCTATCCCCTAACAAATACTTATATCCCTTATCTGCTATCCAACCTTCCCTTTAACCAGTTATCACCTCCCCTATCCTCTACCCACTTATTATCTACACCCCCACCCACCCTTTATCCAGTTATCACCTCCCCTATCCTCTATCTTATTACCTCCCCTTCATTTACCCAGCTATCACCTCCCCTACCCAATTATTACCTCTGCAATCCTCTTTCTGGGTACTGTCTCTCCTTTCCTCTATCCAGGTTTTAGAAAGCTGTATTGCCAGGGCTGCATTCACTTTCTGCATGTTACCTTCAATACCGAGTTCTAGATTTCTTCCCTGCAAATCTAAATCCTCCAAAGGTAGTATCTTGCGAAGAGGACTCTGTGAAGAAAAGAAACCATTCTCAAATAAAGTCCTTGGATGAAGTATTCAATGCTAGCCTTCTTCATTTGCTGTAATAATTTCATAATACTACCTTCTTAATACAAATAATAAGAATAAATGTATCTAAAATTGCACTCTCCTGAAGTATCTATAGATAAGAAGACTCACCCCTATCTCCTGTGCCCTCTCCTGAAGTATCTATAGATAAGAACACTCACCCCTATCTCCTGTGCCTTCTCCTGAAGTATCTATAGATAGGAACACTCACCCCTATCTCCTGTGCCTTCTCCTGAAGTATCTATAGATAAGAACACTCACCCCTATCTCCTGTGCCTTCTCCTGAAGTATCTATAGATAGGAACACTTACCCCTATCTCCTGTGCCTTCTCCTGAAGTATCTATAGATAAGAACACTCACCCCTATCTCCTGTGCCTTCTCCTGAAGTATCTATAGATAAGAACACTTACCCCTATCTCCTGTGCCTTCTCCTGAAGTATCTATAGATAAGAACACTTACCCCTATCTCCTGTGCCTTCTCCTGAAGTATCTATAGATAAGAACACTCACCCCTATCTCCTGTGCCCTCTCCTGGAGTATCTATAGATAGGAACACTTACCCCTATCTCCTGTGCCCTCTCCTGAAGTATCTATAGATAAGAACACTCACCCCTATCTCCTGTGCCCTCTCCTTAAGTATCTACAGATGAGAACAGTTACCCCTATCTCCTGTGCCCTCTCCTGGAGTATCTATACATAAGAACACTTACCCCTATCTCCTGTGCTCTTTCCTTGATAACCTGTAGAGCAGGTGATACTTGTGGTGCAGTGAAAGCTGGAACTCCTGACTGTAAATCATAAATAATGAGCACCTTAGATTTTTTTTGATATTGCAGCTAAAAATTCAGGTAAAGATACTAATAATTTAATATAACTACTCTACTTCTTCAATAAAATCTCTTTTTATCAAAACTTGGTCTTGTATTATGAATAAGTCTACTGCAGGATACTTAGATACCTGAGATCTACAATTTTGTTTTAGATTTTCTCATAAAACAGCATGGATATAACCAAATCTGTTGAGATGTTGATGAGTTATCACAAAATGTTTTAATATCATTGTCTGAATTAAAATTAGATCACCCTCTACTATTACTGCTGATGACATCACGTAAGGTGTAAAATTTTATGTTCTGTTACTATAGTGGAAATATAAAATAAATCTTCTGTGGTTGATTATGATATTTTCTGAAAACAATGATTTCCAAATGGATCAAGAGGTACATTAATTCTCTTCATTCTCCATCAGCGACCACCAAAATTAAGCGGTAGAATATGCCGTTTGACAACAGATGCACAAAAGGAGAAGTAGTTTATTTACTTTCCTACCAATTATAGCATAAACTCACAGGTACTTGATGCACAAGTCACAGTATATACAAACAGACCACTGACCTTGAAAATCCCAGATTTGTGCCAGGCTATCTTTTCAATGGTGTTTCCCAGCATGGCTGTGTGATCCAGTCCAAGGGAGCTAACTCCACATACCACAGGTTTTCGTACGAGGTTTGTACTGTCATACTGACCTCCAATACCGACCTCCATAATGGCCACATCAATCTTTTCTTGGAGAAACACATGGAATGCCATAATGGTACAAAATGCAAAGTAAGCTGGCATAGCCCCATCATGTTGCTGCTGTAATTGAGAGGAGATACAACATACTTTAAGGTGGTAAAAAATGGTTTTCTGTCTTGTTCTTGATTCAACCTATCAAACACACTGTAAACCTATACAAAATTTAACACATGCATATCAGGGATTCAATTTTGACTGATAAAATATATACACTTGACTCCACCTCATAAAAAAGACCTCTGAAATGTATATAATTTGATATGCCACTATTCACTGATCAAGAATGTTTCATGTTCATAAAACTAATTAACACATATTAGAGTGATATGGGAGTGAGTTTCCCCAATATCCCCTTCAAATTAATGTCATTAATCTACTTTCCAATGAGGTTTAATTCTATTAAGACCACGTAAATTGTAATGAATTCTCTGTACATAAGCCTTACCTTTGAGGCTTCTAGCTTGTGATATACATCCCAAAAGTAATGTGCAAATTTTTCTCGTGAAATTGGCATGCCGTTGATGCGAAATCTCTCCCGAACTTCGACCAAATGTGGGGAACTGTGGAAGGATAGCAGTTGTTAAATCTATATATAATCTATACATTATCTTAAGTAAATAATATTTCATCTAAAAAATTTGTGAATAAATCTATTGGATATGATAGTATCATTCACATTTCTAACTAGAAGTACAGGTTCTGATTCAAAATCCTTACATCTGAAGTGGTTCTGATTCAAAATCCTTACATCTGAAGTGGTTCTGATTCAAAATCTTTACATCTGAAGTTGTATCTAACATATGTACAAAAAGAAGATGGTGTTACACAGGTGATGAATCATCCTACCTGAAGAAGCCTGTGCTGTAGCCATACTGACGAAGGATACTTTCAGTGAAGGCACAAGTTGATCCCTTGCCCTTTGTACCACTGACATGTATCACATTCAAACTGTCAATATCATCCAGCTGTAACAGGTAAAAAAATCTTCAAAATCACAAAACGTTTCTTTTAATTGGCACAGAACATACAGACTTTTACTATATCAATGTCTTTACATCATCAAAGTCAAATTTTATAATTCCTAAACATTTCAGATTCTGTCGTAAAGAAGCATGGCAATCAATCCTTTTCACCCTAAATTTTCATAAAGGCTTGCCACCATGGGTATAATAATATTGTTATGTAATATCGTTCGTTGTGATTGGTTGTTCACAAAGAACAATGACCAATAAGATTTACTGATAGGTGATTGGTTGTTCACAAAGAACAATGACCAATAAGATTTACTGGTAGGTGATTGGTTGTTCACAAAGAACAATGACCAATAAGATTTACTGGTAGGTGATTGGTTGTTCACAAAGAACAATGACCAATAAGATTTACTGGTAGGTGATTGGTTGTTCACCAAGAACAATGACCAATAAGATTTACTGATATGTCATAATTAAAACTCATAATGTTTCTTAAAAATCCCTATTTCTGTGACTTTATGCGACTTACAGTAATTCCCACTCGCTCGGCATACTTGATCATGTTTGGGATGTTGAGGTGAGAGAGGGAGTTTCGTTCCTTACGGATTTTCTGTATAGTCTGTGCATTACTCTGGAGGGTGTTGAGCATCTTAACCGCCTCCTGGAAACAAACCACATAATCATCAATGACAGTCAATCTTTACTAAGTTAGATACATTTGTCTATGCTAATTTTCCTTGAACTGATACAAACAATAACACTGACTCTACAGGCATGTCATTATCATTCAAATTATTTCAATATCTGTGGTTAACATAGACAGCTATTAAAACCACGTATTTCATATAAATTCACAGATAAAGAACTTTGCCAACCTGAAGACATAATTTCATATTGTTTCCTTTTTCTTTAAAATGAACTAGAACTGTATATATGATAAAAATTAATCTAACTGATGCTTCATTACTATTTGCAGCACATTAACAAGCAAAATTTGGCAACTTAAGAATGCAACTGGATATCCCATAGACATACCACCTCAGCCTCTGGTTTGATTACCAAATTAGATGTGAAAAAGTCTCTTGTCATCATATGTTTTTTCTACCAGAATCTCTTGTCACCTGTCAAACCACATGAATTTTCTACCAGTATCTCTTATCACCTGTCAAACCACATTTATTTTCTACCAGTATCTCTTGTCACCTGTCAAACCACATGGGTTTTCTACCAGTATCTCTTGTCACCTGTCAAACCACATGGGTTGTCTACCAGTATCTCTTGTTACCTGTCAAACCACATGGGTTGTCTACCAGTATCTCTTGTCTCCTGTCAAACCACATGGGTTGTCTACCAGTATCTCTTGTCACCTGTCAAACCACATGGGTTTTCTACCAGTATCTCTTGTCACCTGTCAAACCATATGGGTTGTCTACCAGTATCTCTTGTCTCCTGTCAAACCACATGGGTTGTCTACCAGTATCTCTTGTCACCTGTCAAACCACATGGGTTTTCTACCAGAATACTCTTGTCTCCTGTCAAACCACATGGGTTGTCTACCAGTATCTCTTGTCACCTGTCAAACCACATGGGTTTTCTACCAGTATCTCTTGTCACCTGTCAAACCACATGGGTTTTCTACCAGTATTTCTATGACTATAAGTTGGAGAGTTTTTGATTATGAATATATTTGATAAATATCTATTCTATCATCTGTTCTTGCTGTTCCGTGCATGAATTACTTTATATCTAGAGCCATAAAGCTGTAATTTGTTTCAGCATAACAGCAGCTGATGTACACGTAAAGCCGTGAAACTGTCCACGAGTGTCTCATTACTAAACCAATACAGGAAAGCATTCTTATACAGAGCCACGAGATATAAAGTGTTTAACATAGAAAGTAATCACAGCGAAAAGATACAAGTTAAACAAGTGTCTTACAAACAAATGTTTACAAAACGTAAATAACCATTTCAAAATGTCCTTCCTCATGACATTCTATCTTCTTGGATTTTAGATAATGCATCACAACTGGCATGTATTTTGTCAAGGTCATCATTTCCAGGATTTCTAGCAGATTTTATATCAATATCGTTGACAATTGAATTAAATTTTCTTCTTGTTATGGAAATAAAATGTATAACCAAGTCCATTGTTAATGACAAAGATGTATACACCGACAGACAAATCCGGTTTAAAATTTGCATATCATCGGGGTGACTAGAATTGATAACATGAATACATTTATACACTTATCTTAAAGAAGATCACCTTTACAAATACTACACATGACAAGTGTACTTCACACAAATTCGACCTTAAATCCAGGCAGATGTTCATGCTTTCTACATAACTCATTGCTGAATATGATCTTCTCTTTTCCTGCTGGATAACTTTATAATGTCTGACCCGTCACCCAAACTTTTCTAACTTTGTCAACAGAATTTTCTGTATATACTACACAATAACTATACATATAGCAGTTAATAGGAGATCAGGTTACTGAGGTGAATTTTAAAAAGTAAAGTGACATACGTTCTAAACAAGTAGAGAGACATACGTTCTAAACAAGTAGAGTGACATAGGTTCTAAACAAGTAGAGTGACATATGTTCTAAACAAGTAGAGTGACATACGTTCTAAACAAGTAGAGAGACATACGTTCTAAACAAGTAGAGAGACATACGTTCTAAACAAGTAGAGAGACATACGTTCTAAACAAGTAGAGAGACATAGGTTCTAAACAAGTAAAGTGACATACGTTCTAAACAAGTAGAGAGACATAGGTTCTAAACAAGTAGAGAGACATACGTTCTAAACAAATAGAGAGACATAGGTTCTAAACAAGTAGAGTGACATACGTTCTAAACAAGTAGAGAGACATACGTTCTAAACAAGTAGAGAGACATACGTTCTAAACAAGTAGAGTGACATACGTTCTAAACAAGTAGAGTGACATACGTTCTAAACAAATATAGCAATATATGTTCTAAACAAGTAGAGTGACATACGTTCTAAACAAATATAGTAATATATGTTCTAAACAAGTAGAGTGACATACGTTCTAAACAAATATAGCAATATATGTTCTAAACAAGTAGAGTGACATACGTCCTAAACAAATATAGCAATATATGTTCTAAACAAGTAGAGTGACATACGTCCTAAACAAATATAGCAATATATGTTCTAAACAAGTAGAGTGACATACGTTCTAAACAAATATAGCAATATATGTTCTAAACAAGTAGAGTGACATACGTTCTAAACAAATATAGTGATATATGTTCTAAACAAGTAGAGTGACATACGTCCTAAACAAATATAGTGATATATGTTCTAAACAAGTAGAGTGACATACGTCCTAAACAAATATAGCAATATATGTTCTAAACAAGTAGAGTGACATACGTTCTAAACAAATATAGCAATATATGTTCTAAACAAGTAGAGTGACATACGTTCTAAACAAATATAGTGATATATGTTCAATATATGTCCTAAACAAATATAGCAATATATGTTCTAAACAAGTAGAGTGACATACGTTCTAAACAAATATAGCAATATATGTTCTAAACAAGTAGAGTGACATACATTCTAAACAAATATAGTGATTTACATTCTAAACAAGTAGAGTGACTTACGTTATAATCAAGTGTAGTAGTATACATTCCAAACAACAGTTTGCAGGAAGATAAGAAGCAGTGTGGTTGATTGAAAAAAAAAACAGCTTACTGTTATGTGTTATTAAAGGTTCAAAGATGCTTAAGAAGAAGGCTTCTTTTGTTGTCAGTCAGCTTTCAATGATTGCTCTAAACACTTCTACAAAATGAAACTTTATCATAATCTTTAACTAACCAATACCTCCATCAACCAATCAAATTTAGTTTGTCAATATCTATCTTACACCTGGAACAGTCATAATTATATCATATCTTCTATACTTTGTACAGGAAGCAGGCTTTCACAAACCATTACTGTAAAGATGAGTAACTTGTATGCAGAGAGTGGGAGATGAGTAACTTGTATGTAGACAATGGGAGATAAGTAACTTGTATGCAGAGAGTGGGAGATGAGTAACTTGTATGTAGACAGTGGGAGATGAGTAACTTGTATGTAGACAGTGGGAGATGAATATCTTGTATGCTGATAGTGGGAGATTAGTAACTTGTATGTAGACAGTGCGAGATGAATATCTTGTATGCTGATAGTGGGAGATAAGTAACTTGTATGCAGAGAGAGGGAGATGAATAACTTGTATGTAGAGAGTTGGAGACCAGTAACTTGTACTTAGAGAATGAAAAATGAGTAACTTGTATGCAAATAGTTGGAAACAACTATATGTTACATGTAGAGGGTGGGAAACAGAAAGTAGAAATTTCATTACTTGTATGAAGAGATTAGAAAACAAGCAACTTGTATGTAGAGTGGGAAATTAATTACTTGTATGAAGAGATGAAAAACATTGTACATAAAGTAAATTAATTACTTGTATGCAAATTTTACATAAAGTTTAATTACTTGGAAGACAACTATATGTTACATGTAGAGAAAACAAGCAAATTGTACATAAAGAGTGGGAAATTAATTACTTGTATGAAGAGATTAGAAAACAAGCAACTTGTATGTGGAGAGTGGGAAATTAATTACTTGTATGAAGAGATTAGAAAACAAGCAACTTGTATGTAAAGAGTGGGAAATTAATTACTTGTATGAAGAGATTAGAAAACACGCAACTTGTACATAAAGAGTGGGAAATTAATTACTTGTATGAAGAGATTAGAAAACAAGCAACTTGTATGTAGAGTGGGAAATTAATTACTTGTATGAATAGATTAGAAAACAAGCAAATTGTACATAAAGAGTGGGAAATTAATTACTTGTATGAAGAGATTAGAAAACACGCAGATTGTTAAACAGTGGGAAATAAGTAACCCACCTCAGTGCTATCAATTTCACTAAGATAGTTGGTGCTCATTCATTCATGTGCTTTCATTCAATGACAAGTGTTTCACCCTACATTTTTATTTTGTTTTCGTACTTATAACTGTTTATTAAAATAAAAAATATTATTAGTGTATAAAATAACCAAATATTTTTATTTATATATTACTTATTCACTGCTGTCATGCCATGCTATGAGACACGTATCTGGTAAACAACTAATGAAAATAGGGTCTAATTTTTTATGCACAATGTCTGCGTTTATAGATACACTGCTAAGTCAAACCATGGGATAGTCTAATATTTCATTTTGTCTCGTCGATTTCAACTTATCTGTGTTTTTCTGTATTTACTAATGCCCAAACATGATGTGATTTTATCGCAAAATATAGAATATACATAGATAAAATAGAAATCACATGCAGAATGAACAATTGTAACAAAAAAGAATAAAAGTCATAGAGAAAGTAAATCAAATTATGTAGAGTAATAAAAAGTTTGAGTATAAGAATGCACAACTTTACGTACAAACAAGCTATATGTAGGTGTATTACATCATGCTTGGTAACACCGATAGGTGAAAGAAAAAGCTCACAAAAGGGACACATACATTGTTGCCAAGATCCGACATGAAATGAAAACACTTAAAAAGTCTAAAACTACAACCGTTGTTAGTAAGCTAACCTCCCCACAACCTCATATCACCCACTAGGCAAATAAAGCAGGCCTTTATCACTGATTAACAACAGTATGAACAAAGAAAATAATAATTAAAAGAGAAAGAACGGGCCGTTTAGAGTTGGTAATTGTGTTGTTTTTATCAAGCAGAAAAAGCTAAAGGTGATTTCATGATGCAAGAAAAAATAACATATGAACAGGTTTGAAAAATAAATTTAAAACCAAAAGCCAAAAGATTCAAATGTGCAATATATCATAAATCAGAGATTTGCTATTGCGTGTTTTCAAAGTCAGTTTGAGACAGGCCTACACGCGAGAGAATTATTTGACACTTGGGGGTGACATCATGGAGGAGAACCACTCAAAATTGGTGCACTCACCTGTATTCTCCACCAAACCTACAGAAACACACAGGAGTGAATGGATATAGACAGAATGATTAAGATAAAAATGTCTCAATCACTATCCACATGGAAGGAACATCAACTCGGAAGAAAAACCATGAAACAAGATTGTCATGTATACCTTCATCGTCATAAGTATGAAATAGCCACTAAATTATAAGTTCAACAGAAATAATTAAGATTGAACAACAAAAAAATAACTGATAAAAATATTATATTTATCTGGCGAATAAGCCCATACCTGGTGATAAGCCCAAAAAGACCAACTCCATCTATTACGTATTTGTATAATAGCTAGCAATTTTCAACAAATACTCGTCCTGAATATAAAGAGCCCATCTCGTAACTTTGAGTCAGAAGGAATGGGTTGGCCCACTGGGCGTATTCCAGGATCAGCTCATACCAAATTAACTAGCAGTTTGCTATGAATCCTGTTTTTAAAATACTGATGGCAAGAAAGGGTAAAATAAAAATTGACCTGCACTCCAGAATAGTCAATTCCAACGAATCCTGAGATTCCAATCTTTTAAAACCTGTATTTCTGATGCTTTCAATGTTTCAAACATGTAATGATAGCAGATGTGCAAGCATTTGGATGATTTGTGTGTTGGCAAGAACGATAAAGGTGGCAAGAACAGGCTATAATACACGTTTGGGGTTTTAACTAACAACAATGGCAAGGACGACTCATTAACGCAATACAGAAATTCAACACGGTTTCATAATGATATAATCAGGGACGATGCTTTTGTCAAACACAAGATTAGCCACTGATATAGATCTACCTTGTTTATTGATGTGCAACTGTCAAAGCTTTAAATGGTAACTTTTCAAATACATTTAGAAAAACTGCATGCAGTATGCCAGTGATTGTCTGGAAAAATCTTTTATTGTTTGATGATTTCCTAATTTGAAAATAAGAATTGAATACAGTAAAGATTTAACAACAATTGTTTGGTCAATAGTAATAATATGCAAATATTACAAATCAATCTAGCAAAAATGTTAAATATGTTTATTTACGCGATCTTGGTTCTTATGTGTTTCTTTTTCAAAGTATTCCCAATTTGAGTAGACAATTATTCACGTAAGCAGTCATTGTCCTTAAAATGCAGGACTACTCTTTAAATGCAAGGCTGTACCCAACCTGACCTTGGGAACCAGATCCATCCAGTACTTCTATTCCCAATTTGAGTAGACAATTATTCATGTAAGCAGTCATTGTCCTTAAAATGCAGGACTACTCTTTAAATGCAAGGCTGTACCCAACCTGACCTTGGGAACCAGATCCATCCAGTACTTCTATAGAAATACAGTGGATGTATGGAACTGCTTGAATTCGAATGAAGTGTAAAAGGAAGGAGTAGTGAAAAACACCATGCCACTGCTGGGGTTCGGAGTAGTGACCGTTTAGACTCTAGCCAGACATTCTACAGTGTGAGTAAATGGAAATTCCCACTAACCATGACTTGTAAGGCATCCTGAACACTCAACTTCTACACAACTCCCTCCTTCACAAAGTTTTCAATCCCAAAGACAACAACAACCCAGATGCAATATCTCCAATTGAGCATCACAATCTAATTTAGCTTCTACCCTTGGAATGGCCAACAGCATCAAATCCACAAATTGTGACCAACATGACCAAGTGAACCAGACCCATCCAGTGCTTCTAAAGAAATAGCAACACAGCTGAAATGTGGAAATGCCTTAATTCCAATTTAGTGTAGTACAGACAAGTTTATGTAGTCTGTGATTTCACCAAAATGTTTGTTGGATGTTTTATCACTCAGGACCTTGTAGTGGTTTGGCTCTTGTATGTACCCTTAGTGGCAATGTTATTAGTACTCTGGAGGGGTCAGCCTAGTGTTTACTGAGGGACATTGTGCCTAGTTTGACATAGTGTTTGCTTTGGGTTGTTATGTTGGCCATCTTGTGAGATGAGCCATGGTCAAGTCATGTCATGCACAGTGATTGGTCGAGGCTTCAGTGGTGGAGCCAGTCACTTAGTCTTATGGTCACACAGAAGAGTTCCGAGTGGACTGAGGAGCAGGTGTTGTTTATTTCGCTCCGTTATATTTCTTGATTTTCTCGAAAATGGTGAACTATTTCATCATTAGTCTCGTAATGCTAGTGCTGGAGACGATATAGTCAATTTCTTGCGAAGATTTTAAGTACCAGTGGTAGTATCTGTGAAATCAGTGACAATTTATTGTGCAAAAAAATTCGTTGGATTATATATATAAAGACTGGTAAGTGAATATTTCGCACATTTTGATTGATCAGATATTATATGGACAGACCTGCATTTAATGAAAATATTTTCCGTCATTTAATTACGAAAGTCATTTCTTCTTTAATTTGAATAACCTAACAGTACAGTATGTTTTCAATATGTTCGCTTCCTATTTTATAACTAAGCGTGAAGAATGTTCAAAATCTGTAAAAGTGGTATGAAAGGAATGTGATTACAATTTTATCTACCTGTAAAAGGAAAAAGAAAAAAAAAAAAAAAGATGACGATGCCATTCTGATTTTGAAAACATGACAAACAAATACTTATAAATATAAAGCAAACTATTGCAGTTTAACAATATCTATTTTGTCACCAAGGAAATAAATCTGAAATTAATAATAATAATAATAACACTCAATAGTTTGGTGGTATGATAAAGCTTCTTTTAATCGTCCGGAATTGGTTTCGTCACCTTTATTATATGCGTATATCCGGTTTTGGTGTTTACTTCCGGTAAAGATGGTTGATGCGGAGTATGGCATGCACTTGCTCCTGGTTTGAGGGATATCATGTGGGTAATATACGATTAGATGGTCTATCAGCTCCTATTTGATGATTATTTGGTATATCGGATATCTACGGTACCATTTGTAAACAAACAAGGGGTCTCCCTCAGACCGGGAGCAATTGCCTGCTTGTTTTTTCTAGTGTGTGTGGTTGGTGGTGCGTCAGTATGTTCTTTTTGTCATTATTTTTTACTCATGAATGCTCTTACTTTCTACAACTTTCTTTTTCGATGTTTTCCTCAACTCTATATCTTATCTTGTATCTCTCTTTCCTCTGCCTGGGATGTTAACTAACTATAGAAAAAAGGTACAGTCTAAGTGCATACCAGGTATAAATGGCCCTCATAGTTGCAATAATAGTATATCTTATACTCAATACTTACCTTTGACTCGGGTTATTTTATGTATGAAACTAGATAACATTGGTAGGCTATATTATGATCAATTTTACCCAGGCCCAAGTTATATTTGCTTATTATTGGCTCAGAATTATGGATGTTTTTATAGTACACACAGTTGTTAAGTCTAATGCATTAGACCAATACAGATAATATGGAATCTATTGGTATATTAGCAGCTAACTGTCAAGGCTTGGGTGATCATAACAAAAGAAAAGATGTTTTCTCATTTTTACGAAATAAAAAATTTAATATTTATTGCATTCAAGAAACACACTTTACTACTGAAATGGAAAATTCTGTAAGGTCTGAATGGGGTTATGAATGTCTTTTTAGCTCTTACAGATCAAACTCAAGAGGGGTGGCAGTATTAATTAATAATAATTTTGAGATGCAGGTAATTAAAGAGAAGAAGGATAATAGTGGAAATTTTTTAGCATTAGATATGTTAATAGAGGGTAAAAATGTGACTTTGATAAATTTATATGGTCCAAATACAGATAGTCCACATTTTTATGAACAGGTAGTTGATGTTGTGAATGAGTTTAATAATGAATTCCTTATTATATGTGGGGACTTCAATCTCGTACTTAATCCTGACATAGACTATGATAATTCTTATAGACAAGTAAATAATCCAAAAGCTAGGGACAAAGTAATAGAGATGATGAACGAAATAGGGTTAATAGATATATACAGAGGTCAACACGAAGACTCTAGAAGATATACTCGGAGAAGAAGTAATCCAAGGAAACAAGCTCGACTAGATTTTTTCCTTATTTCCGAAAACATGCTGCCCAGTATTCAGAAATCAAGCATAGACCCTGGTTATAGATCTGACCATTCAATACCTACAATATCTTTTAAGTTTAATGTTTTCAAAAAAGGAAAAGGACTATGGAAGTTTAATAATTCTTTACTTCATGATATAGACTTTCTGCAAATAATCAACAAACACATTACTGATATCAAGAAGCAGTATGCACTACCTATATACAACCTAGATGCTATTCAGACAATACCAAACAGTGATATTCAATTTACCATCAATGGTCAACTTTTCTTAGAGACACTGCTGCTTGAAATTCGAGGAAAAACCATATCATTCTCTGCATATAAGAAAAAACTTCAAAACCAGACAGAAAACAAACTAATAAAACAATAGAAACCCTAGAATCTAGTGATAACATAGATTATACAGTATTAGATTCTAAAAAAGAAGAATTAAGAAAAATTAGACAGCATAAACTAAAAGGAAGTATTATTAGATCTAAGGCAAAATGGACAGAGGAAGGAGAAAAACCATCAAAGTATTTTATTAACCTTGAGAATAGAAATTTTACTTCAAAGATAATTCCTCAGATAGAAAAAGAGAATGGAGAAATTGTAAGGAAACAAGAAGATATTTTAAATGAAACAAAGCTTTTTTATGAAAAACTTTATGCAGGTGATAGTTGTAATGTTCATGATATGAATTTACAAGACTTAAGTGAAATGAATATTCCAAAACTTAATCAATTTGAATCACAAAGTCTAGAAGGTTTACTAACTATTAGTGAGGCTTCTCAAACATTGAAGAAAATGAAAAATAATAAGAGTCCAGGCTCTGATGGTTTCTCTGTAGAATTTTTAAAATGTTTTTGGAAAGAACTGGGTGATTTTGCTGTTCGATCAATTAATTATGGTTTCTTCAATAAAAAACTTTCTGTAACTCAACGCCAAGGAATTATCACTTGTTTACCAAAAGGAAATAAACCTAGACAATTTGTAAAAAATTGGAGACCAATTTCACTGCTAAATGTAACATATAAGATAGCAACAGGCTCAATCGCAAATAGAATTAAAACAGTCCTAAATAAATTGATAGATTTAGATCAGTCTGGTTTCATTGAAGGTCGATATATAGGAGAAAACATCAGACTCATTTATGATACAATGCAATTTGCAGAAGAAAATGATATACCGGGTCTTCTATTAGTTGTTGATTTCGAAAAAGCATTTGATTCGGTTGATTGGAAATTTATTGACAAAGTACTTGACTTTTTTGAGTTTGGTGAAGATATTAGGAATTGGATAAAACTTTTTCTTACTCAACCATGTTCTTCCAATTAAACCTAGGAAAAAATAAAATTTCACTTAAATGTAACATATAAGATAGCAACAGGCTCAATCGCAAATAGAATTAAAACAGTCCTAAATAAATTGATAGATTTAGTTCTTCTATATTAATCATTTATGATACAATGCAATTTGGGAAAATGATATACCGGGTTTCTATTAGTTGTTGATTTCAACATTTTTTTGATTGGAAATTTATTGATTACTTTTTTGAAAGATATTAGAGGATAAAACTTTTTCTTACTCAACCATGTGGGGGGAATAGAGATTAAAAGAGGGTGTAGACAAGGGGATCCAGTTTCCCTTTACCTATTCATTTTATGTGCAGAAATCTTAGCAATAAGATTGAGAAATAATGAGAATATAAAAGGTATTCAAATAGAGAATACACCTATTCTTTTATCACAGTATGCAGATGACACCTCTATCATTTTAGACCGTTCCAAGAAGTCGCTAAAAGAAACCTTACCTGAATTAAATGATTTTGCTAAAATATCCGGTTTGAAAATAAATGCCAGTAAAACCCAAGTTATCTGGATTGGAAGTAAAAAATATAGTCAGGAAGTCTTTTACCCTGAACTCAATCTACAATGGGGAGACCATAAGTTTACCCTATTAGGTATTGATTTCCATGTTGATCTACACAGAATACCAAAACTGAATTTCGATAAAAAACTTGTGAAACTTGAGGCAATTATCAAAAGCTGGAGTAGGAGAGCCTTGACTCCATTTGGGAAAATACATGTTATGAAATCGCTTTTAATTTCACAATGCAATAATCTTTTTATATCAATACCAAATCCAAATGAAAGCTTCCTAAAATGCATTACCACTGAAATATACCATTTTTTGTGGAACAGCAGAAGGGATAAAGTGAAAAGGGAGGTAATTACAAAACAATATGAAGAAGGAGGACTTAAGATGTTAAATCTGGAAAGTTTTGTCAGATCTCTGAAGCTAACGTGGGTAAGAAGACTATTAACACAAAGTGGAAAATGGCAGATTTTGTTAAATACAAAACATTGATATAACTATGTTAATGAGTTGTGGACCACAATTTATAAATGAATACCTCAAAATATGTAAAAATCAGTTTTGGAAAGATGTCTTTAAAGCTCACATAGAACTTAGCCGGACAGAGGAACTTTTCTCAAATAAGACAACATCAATATTAAAAACACCACTTTGGCATAACAATAAGATAAGAGTGGGGGACAAGACGCTTTTTTATAAGAAATGGTACTCCAAAGGGGTTATGATAATTAATGATTTGATAAAGGATATTAATTCAGGAGTCTTCTATAGTTTTCAGGAATTTGTAACCAGATATGGCGTGCCAACTAATTTTTTAGAATATCAGGGGGTAATTCATATTGTTAAAAAGCTTATTTCTGACACAGATATTACCAATCATCCAGTTGTATACCCATATTTACCAAAGGCTTTTGAGATTTACTTTAAAAATAAAAAAGGATCAAAAGATTTTTATCTTTTATTATGTCACAACAATACATTGTCTACAGGTAAACAAAAATGGAACACCATGTTTGAATACAGTGACGAAAAATGGAAACAAATATACAAATTGCCTTTTAAAGTAACAAAAAATACCAAATTACACTGGTTACAGTATAGGATAAATCAGCATATTTTAACTACTAACACTTACCTATCAAAAATAGGGATAGAAAATAGTTCTTCCTGTTTCCAGTGTGGAACAGAACCAGAAACAATTATTCATGCCCTATGGGAATGTGAAAAAGTTTTTTACAGAATTTTGAATATCTTGTGGACAGTCTTTCAATACCTTTTGCATATAATAAAAGAATCCTTTTTATTTGGAATATTGAATAGGAACAATATCAATTTTGTAGTGGACAACACAATAATATTGATAATGAAACAGTATATAGCTATAGCTCTAGATGTTTAAAAACGGAATTATCTATTCATGGTCTCAAGAATCTAATTAAGGAAACATATTGTGTCCAGAAATTCATAGCTACTGGAAAAGGGAATCTGGTACTGGATGAGTTTAAAAAAGTATGGAGGAAATAGGAAAAGTTAATTGAGATAACTTAGCATCATAAATTTGTGTTTCTAGTATGTGGTTATACATTCCCAGGCAGCTCCCTCTTAATTTCTCTCTCTCTCTCTCTTTCTCTCTCTCTCCCTCTCTTTCTCCTTCTGAGATATATTCCTTTTATGTAGTTATGTGTATTTGTTCTGTGTTTTTTGAGTGGGTGAAGTATGAGTGATAATAACATGTAAGAATGTTTGTATAGGTGTAGTACAGGTAAAGAATGAGTGAATATGTATACATAGTGGAAAAATGAGTGAACACGTCCTTCAGGGGAGTTTGTATAGGTGTATGATACATATATGAAGAATTAGTGAAAATGTAGTGTATGAAATATAAGTGAATCAATCTTTTATGAGTGTTTTTGTTACATAAATGAGGTGCAGGTGAAATATGAGTGAATGTAGTATAGGTGAAGGATGAATGAATATATCCTATATAATTAATATACCAGTTGGGAGTGTTGTATAGATGAAGTGAAGGTGATGTATGAATGTAGGTGTATGATGAGTGACTGAAAGAAGAAAAGCTGAATGGGATATAAAATATAAATGAGAAAGTGTGGTATGTTTATTGTCTTGCAATGTATCCTGTTTGAAGAAAAAAATAAAAAGTTACAAAAAAAAAGAAAGAGTCTTATGGTCACTGTGTGAGAGTGTTTGTTGAACCATGGTTTTTACTGGCGGAGATTTGGTGAGTTTCAGTGGGTTTGCAGCAACAGTCACCGACACTTTGAAAATGAAGCGTTGGGGAAACAGACTTAAGACTTTTATTGCTAGTTATGAAATGTTAGGCCTATTTAGACAACTTACAATCCGAAAACAGAATAACATTTCTGTTGTTTACAGTCATGTCTTAAATTTCTCCAAAGTAAGTAAACTGTAGATATACTCTAAAACCAGGACATGGAGTGTGAATTCACTTGTTATAAGTCTATAGACTAGTTTTACCATGGAGTCTATACACAGAGCTACGTAATGTTACATTTATAGTTTTCTATAGAAGAGGGTGGATGTTAAGCCCATCTCAAAGGCAGATTGTTGTTCTATTTGACAGCATTGGATTTAGGCCGGTATTAACAGTAGCCAGTTTGAACAACAGTAATAAGGGGGAAGTGCACTGGAACCATTATTTTGTGGGGCGTCTGTCAGATAAAGTCCCTTTAGAGTTTTGTTCATTTTTCTATTTAGTTTATTTTTGTTCAAGTTTTAGTGTATTATATTTTCTACTGTCTTTACTCCTACATTAACTTATTTCTCTTTGTCAAGTTATTTACTTGTGCTATTGTACTACATTAAACTCTTGATAAAACTAATGAAAGTTAAAATTTGGTGTTGTGGATATTTCCTAACATTACAACAAATCAAAGGCAAAGAACCCAAAAGCGTGCTTGGGAGTTGACTTTTGGCCACCATTTTATCTCTAGATATCTGCTTCAGGCCACTAAAATTACACAACAAGAAGTCCTTCGTGTGGCAAACCCCGCCTACAGAACCTACCTACTACATAAACTGGTGCAGTGACCAGGATTAGTCTATTAGTAAGAACAGATACCTGAATTAAATAAAATTGCTAGCAAATATGAGTTCCCACATAGACACATTTATCGACAAGTATTATGTGATTAGAGAAGGTTGTAGAGAGCTAAGGTTGCTAAGTGATGAAAACCTTGCTAGAGCCCTGCATATCAAAAATAACTCTATCAGGGGGATTTTTTTTATACTCGTCGATTTGAATAGTTTCATAGGAAGGAAGAGTGAAAAACAACCTGCCACTGTTGGGTTTCAATCTAATGACCCTTCAGTCTCAAGCCTTTATACTCTACCACTTGACTAAAGGGAAATTCTCACTAGCTATGGCTAGTAAGGTGACCTGTACACTCAACTTCTACAATAGTAAATGTAATGTCAGTTAAACGATATGAGCATGAAATAAAGATTGCAAAAATCAAGCACAAAAATGTTGTTTTTAAGAAAAAATGAGCAACAATGTATGTTTTATATATCTTCATATGACGAGCTGTCAAAAGATTGTAAATGCTGTAAATATTTCATGTCTAAATAAATCCATGTGATACCAAAAATTGTTTACGACGGATGGACGGGCGCCGGACGACTTGAACAGTGTATCGTCTGCTGATGGTGGACAAAATCCGGTTGCCACCGTAAATAACCGTGGAGTATGTTGCACATGGTGTTGTCCAATCGAAAGATAAAAAGTAACGTAAATCATTTTAAATTAATATTTTCTTACCTCGTATTTCTTACTAATGTCACTGGAGACATTTGCAGCTAGTTTGGGAAGAGATCTCACCATGTTATTCATTTCCTATAAATCCAAAACTGTAACTGTCAAAACGATGTGTTCATCCCGCCTTCTGCTACGCGCTCACACGTGTTTAGTTGCAAAGCAAATGAACGACTGAAGAGTTCTGATCTCTTTATATACCCCCCATATGTCAAGGGAGGTTACTCTTGAAGAAAAATATAAAGTACAACATTAACACAAAACTATTCTACGTTGAGTTTTAGTTTATATACAGATAGATTCGGCTGAATATTTTAGTGACATAACGACTCATACAAGATTATGGGGGAAATCCTAAATCTATATATAAATGTATTGTTTATGTTGCATCGAAGTCAAGTAAGGCGTAATCAAACGCACCGTTTCCTCCTATCCAATCACAAATCAGAGCGCCGGGGTCTTTACATTTATGCGGACAAACCGAACAGGCCATAAACTTGCAACTTGTGTATTTTCATAGTGTAGAAAATACCGACATATCAACATATTTTTAATTCAAACTCAAATTCGATAAAACTTTGGCGAAGTATGATGGGAACGTTACAAGGAGAAAAGACCAGGCGTTCCAGAAGAGTAAACGTCTTTTGCTTTCTGATAAATCCAAGTAAGTAACGTGACATTCAAGAATGAGTGTCAACAAAAACGGAACCTCGGCACAAACAAATCACCGTTATCATATAACTTGACAGAAAGCTGTTCCTGTGGGTTTTTTTTATGTCATCCTCGTTACTACATGGGTTACAATCACATTCCCTCTTTGCACCCCTTGCATCATGTCATGACAAAATTGAAGGTTCCATGTACGACACCTTGTGGACATGACGAAAAGACTAGTTTGATCCTTTGATATACATCTCGAGGTCACATAACGGTATAATTGTATAATTGTGCACCAGTCTGTGATTGGTCAGCTTTATCCATTTGAAACCAATCAAATTACCCTTGAGTTTGGTTTCAATGTTGGAAAAGTTAGAAGTAAACAGCCGATGTAGAAGTCTATCTACGTGCCTTTGATTTTCAATCTTTGGTCATTGTTCATAAATCTCCTGTTATTTAAAGAAAAGGCGTTATCAGTGTATCTGGATATTAAATTGAAGGATGTTAAAAGGTCGTTGTGACATGTTTTGGTAGCTCTTTTTTCCTTGTATGAAGACAAATACAAGTAGGCCATGTGTAGAATTACAACAAGAACTTTTTTTCAAATAAATAATCTTAGCTTCATTGAAAATGCATGGTTATCAACTGAAAGAATTTTATTTACCGAAAACTGCATGTTCTTGCATTGACTGAGAACATCTTTTTAAAGAACTGAAATACTGTTTCTGAATAAGTAAACCGAGTATTGCCATAAACTATGAAAAAGAAGGGGGAACAACAGTAATGCACAAGTTTTTGATATAAAATTAAAATATCTATAGTCCTTGCCTGACTTTTGTACTCATTTGATTAACAAATAATAATAAACTGACAAATCAATCACTCAAAATATTTTAACAATCAATGTACATGGTACTGGTTTACAGTTTTGATATTTTCGAATAATCAAATCAAATTATAAAAATAATTACAAATTGATTTATAGCGAAATCAAAATTTAAATTCTTATGTTTTTATCCTTATCTTATATCTATTTTATGAAATTGCTCTTCTTTCGTTGACTTTTTTTAAGGAGTGTTTTTTTTAATATAGAAAATATTCTGACAATGAATATGTTATTTGTTGACAATATGTTAAATCTGCATTAGATTTAGTGTCTTACAAAGTGGTGCTGCTACATTAATATTGTCGATGTCCAAAAACAAAGTATCAGAAACTAGAAATCATCCAAAATACTAATATTCGAAGTGATGTGTCTGGTAAACTTTGTCACTGATCGCTGTTTTGGACCGAAAAAGAGGTCCGATCCTGCTCTTTCATACGGAACGAAACCCGTGTTACCTGCTTGCCGTTACGACCGGATAAACGAAAGCGCCCATGCCTTGTCTATTCTGAAGATGGGATATAGAATTTCAAGCGCTTGTAGTGCATCTTGTACTGCCTGTTAAAGAACAAGCGTGTAGCAAACAACGACTCACGTTCGGGAAGTGTTGATGTTGTGGAAATGGCTGGAAGTCGGCTGACGTGTCGCCGAACAATGCTATTTTGTTTAATTTTTTGTTTAATTATCGCCTCAAGCGCCGAGGAGGGAGAAAAATATGACGATACGGAAGACGTCCAAGAACATTACCCTCCAACTGTAATGATAGCAATTCTTGTTCGAAACAAAGAACATGTACTGCCGTGGTTTTTAGAGTATATTGAAAAACTGGATTATCCTAAAGACCGAATAACATTATGGTGAAAAGTTTTTTTTATTTTTTCTTCTTCTTAAATTGTATTTTCTTTAATATGCTTTATTTGCATGTCAAATGTTAGCCTTAAACCACTTTTTTGTATACATTCTGTACACTAAACTCTTTGTTGGGTACTTTGATGGGTCATGTTTCAGATGCTGGGAAAAACGGATTCGGTTTCGGAATTTTTTCGGCCAAATGTATGACATCAGTTGATGACCACAACACTGAAATTACAGTATTTATATTCTAAAACCCAATACATTGATACCCAGATTTTTTTTCAAGTTTCTGAATGTATGTATAAATGTTGGATTTTTGGTGTCACACATTACTAACATTCCTGAAATTGAGCCTATGGAGTGGCAGGGAATAGTGTTAGCCAGGATACAATGAGAATGGAAAAACAGTATTGTATTTTGTATATACTATGTGCAGGGACACATTAATACATTTAAGATCATATATATATATACAATTCAAATTAAGCAAATGAAATTTTGAAATAATGTTTAATTATGAATGATAAAAGTGGTTGAAGCATCATCTTTCTAAAGTTTGTATAATCATTGAATGACACATATTTTATTCATATCATATGATATAAAATAGGCCTTGCCTAAACGCATGCACAATTTATGTATCATTTTGGACTGCCTGCTACATGACTTCATTCAAGCTACTTACACTCTATTTTAAAGGAGATTTCATGAAATTTGATTAAATTCAAAAACACTCATTTCACCATAACTATGCAATACATATGATAGACAAATACTGCAAGGACATAAAATAATGTTTGACACAGTTACTAGAAAGCAATAAAATTATCTCGGTTAAGTTTCACGCCAAATCAGAATACTTTGGCGTCTTCTGTGTAAGAGATGATATATTTTTCACTTATGGAGAGTGGCAAAGGTTCCTGAGCCTTAAACTAAAAGTCCGGTAACAACAAAAAAACATGCACTTAACTTGTTTTGAATTTAAAATTTGATTTAAAAAAAAAAACATATGTTTGTAAAGTTTATTTGTTGGTTTCATGTTGTGATAAAAATTTCAGCCAACAGCCGTATCACATTCAAGGCAGGTCATATATGCAGTTTGTTTATTTTGCTAGGGTTTCAACCACTTTGAATTTTCACTCGTAATTTACGGTATCATGGCACATACTGCCCTTGGTATTAATGGGATAATTAAATCATCTAATTGAATTAACACAGTATATTACCAAGTGGTTCTCCACCATGCATAGCCCATGCAGAAATTAGATACATGTGTCTACATCTGATAATGAACTTGCTTATGCCAAACAATATTTACAGAAATATTGCTAGGAATGTTAAACTTGGCTAGAATAAATAACACGTGTAGTGGGAAAACCACGTAGTTCACGGCTACTGTTTGCCAACCATTACAGGGTTTAATCAGTTTAGTTAGACAGGTGTAACTCCTTTTATTATAACATTGACATGGGATGTCACCAAGTATTAACAAAATTCTTTGTAGAATTTGAGATTTGTAAAAAAAATTCAAAACTTCACAAAATTGTCTTTTTGATATTGCTGACCTCTTTGGTATAGTTTTGTTTTTTTGACTTTAACAAATATTCCTAAACATGGCAAAGAATATTGGATGTTGAACCTATGTATCTTGCCCTGCCACTTCATGGGTTCAAATGCCTCAAATACAAAAGCCTGCAAAGCTGACCACACTGGTTGTCTTTCATCAATGATATATTTGTTTGCTGATCATGGTTAATGTAAGAATCTGTATGCATTTAGATCCTAGGTACTTGGTGGAGTGATGTGATATTAATACAATCCAAAAAATTCAAATTCATCAATTAGAAAGTGGTCACTATTTCTGTGACAAAAACATATCAATAACAATTTTATTAAAAACTTACATTGTGTTTACCAGGTCATTGATACCAAATGCTGAATTGACAGGATGACCTAATATTCAAATCATGTTATCCACGGGTGTTAGCATTCTTTCAACTGAGACCAGTTTTGCTACTTAAATAACTTTCGTAATGTTGACAGTATCTTTTCTTTTTCTGTGGTAAATGGTACTTTTATTTGATTAAATTCAGGCAAGTGGCTGCCAGCATATTTCAAAATCTGAGATAGTCAGAGTGTTTACTGCTATGTATCATTACAGAAATGTCTGTCAGACACACAATACTAGTGTAGCCCTGAAGATTACCTGGTGACCTGTTGGGAAATGAAATAGGCATTGCCTTAAAGCGGGTGCTGTGATGTAAATAAGATTCACATTTAGCTGCCATAAGTTGACGTTATTTATTGGACTGATGGGGCCAAGGTGGCTTAGTGGTTAAGATGTCAGACTATCTTTATCACTAGCCCTCCATCTCTGGGTTGCAGATTTGAGCCCTGCATGTAGCAGGCACCAGATACTGGCCACAGGTTGATGTTTATTCCTGGGACTCCCGATTTTCTTTCATCACACTAACCTGGCAGATTTTATGTGTGATATTAGTGATTATCCGTATGGAATATATGATATGAGGATTACATAAACATATATTTATATTGTACATGTTTATGAACCATTTTTTCTTCATAGGATACGAAGCGATCATAATACAGATGACTCTATACGCATGCTGGAGCAGTGGTTAGAAGTGGTGAAAGACCAGTATCATGCAGTCGATACACACTACGAGTATGATAAAGGTAATTATAATCATAACTTAAAGTGTACCCTACATGTTTTGCTATATCTAGCCATGAAATATTTCATATTATGCAGTAACACCCGCCTACTCCGTCTCACTTCAATTTGAACAAACAAAACGTGATAAAGTTGATACAACTTGTTTTTCAGGTGTTGTAAAATAGATTAGAGTTGTAGAACCTATATATACACCACTATTGAATGTTGTTAATATTAGGGCAGACTGAATAAAACATCCTGTGTGCCTTATATGTATTTCAATATGGCTGCCATCTATTCCAAGATGGCTGCTACGTATTTAACAATTTATTGACATATAACAGACGAAGGCAGATGCCATTTGACAGCCGATATTGTAGAGTGAGAATACATAGGATTGCAGTTTTGGTTGTTTGATTGATTTAACAGTGTTTGATGATGAGCGTGGACCATGTGACTGGAGTGTGGAACGCTTTGCTAATGTCATCAAACATCGCCAAGCAGCATTGGATAATGCACGTAAAATATGGGCGGACTATCTTTTTGTAAGTTAAATATGTGTATATTGTGACGGAATAGTATAAACAAACTTCATGATATTGTAGATATATCCTTTTTATATATATCTCTGGTAAAAATAAATCTGTGTTAAAAATCTAGGCTTTACTGTTAACCTTTTCGGCGCCAAATGTCTCTCACAATGTACAGGAGCTGCCAAATATCTCTCACAATGTACAGCTCATCGCCAAATGTCTCTCACAATGTACAGCTCAGTGCCAAATATCTCTCACAATGTACAGCTTAGTGCCAAATATTTTAAAAATATATATAATACAGATATAAAAATTGTCGACCAAAGTTGCCTACTGCGGCCTGTCTGCATGTCGACTTTAGTTGCCTACGGCGCCGAAAGGATTAAGCATGTCTTGGAAAAATAAGTCTGTGAACTTGGTGCATATAGATACTTCATATATGGTAATGTAAATCAGGTGTACAGTATTTTATGATATTATTTTAGTTTCTGATGCTTGACACCTGGTGCTTCGCTCCGTTCAGATAGAAGTTAATAAACAATGAAAACATCTCCAAGGTGTATGTGTTTTTTAGAGTGTTTATTTTTGCAGATGCTTGATGCAGATATTGTTTTGGAAAATCCACAAACATTGACTCTTCTAATGAATGAAGAAAGGTAAAAAGTCTTTTTTAAACATAAAATATAATATATTCATACCTTGTGTTATTATAGAAGAAAGCTGACAGTAAACCCAACTTTATCATTGTACCTAGTTGTACACATTCTTCAAAAACATTAACAAAGCTGTTGAAAGTTCTACATAAGGAATACAAATTTTGATATTAAAGTTTGGCTCTAAATATTTATAGATTACATATTGGTGATGAATTTGTGATGAATTTGTGATGAATTTTTGAAGTTCTCTGTCAGTGTAAGACCGTTTGTTACTTCCATGCTGTGTTATGAGTAGAATAGTTATATGATGTATTTTTGTAGGACCATTGTAGCACCCATGCTTAATGCCAGTGTAGGGGATACCTACTCAAACTTCTGGGGCGGCATGACTGATTCGGTAAGAAACATTCTCCTTCAGATATAAAACCAGATATAATGTGTAAGTCCTCTCTCAGATACAGTGCAAGATATTTTTATATATATAAACTTATACAGCATACAGGGATACTGTTAGAGGTCTGAAAATTACTTTGTGTTACACAGATACTATCAGAGGTCTGAAAATTACTTTGTGTTACACAGATATTATAAAAAATCAGACAGTTACTTTGTGTTACAGGGATATTATAAAAGATCAGATGATTACTTTGTGTTACAGGGATATTATAAAAGATCAGACGATTATTTTGATATTGTGGGAAGACAAATTGTTGGATGCCTACAAGTTCCTATGGTGCACTCAGCTCTCCTCATCAATATGGAGCATTCACGAACAGGACAAATTGCCTACAGTCCAGCACCAGAAAATTATGAAGGTCCTTATGACGACATCATTATTTTTGCCCACTCTGTAAAAAAAGCTGGTAAGTTTTCTAACCCACAACCAGAGGTATTGTACTTTGAGTAACACAACTGGTAAGATTTCTACCACAGACTCAGAGGTATTGTACTTGGGGTAATACAACTTGGGTATGTTAGAATTGCAGTGATGACCCCTAAACAATCTCCATATTTTATAGTGGTGACATTTTTTGATGTCTGTTATAATACTGGGTTTCTATGCTGTCTAAGTATCTGATAAATTTTTAATCCTGGTAAAACTATGATCATGCCCTCTTTAATACCAGTGCAATGACCTTTAACCTTTGATATACAGTAAGAAGCTACCTCATTGGAGTAACGTCTCAATCATATAATCATTGATTATTATTATTATACATTGCTTATTTTGTTGTTATCATGATGAGTATTTGTGTGGGCTTATTTCAATGATACTGTTAGCTGTGACATTTTACCGTGATAGATATCATTCTCATTTACAGGTCTGAATATGTATGTGCTGAACACAGAATACTTTGGGAAGGTGATGTTGCCTCTGGATTACTACCATTCACTAAGTGATGAAGTGGATCATTTTACTTACGTCAAACTGGAGGCTATGGGTGAGTCTTCATCCTCTCTATATTCTTAATCTCCTTTCTTATGTGGCAGAATTGTTAAATTAAATGAATGTAGAATAACAGCTGTTAATTTGTAAAACAAGAATTCTTTTTTGATATTCAAATAATCACTAACCTATTATTTTCATTTTAAAACTAACTTGGATTTGTATATTGTTTAGTAGGTTAGGTATGGTGATGGGAAAGAGCTAGTTTATGATGCCTGTGAACGGGAAGAGACTTCAGACTTTACATTCTCTACTTGGTAGGATATGGGAGTCTGGGGGAGGGAGGAGGGAAAGAAAACAGACTCTACTTGGTAGGATATGGGAGTCTGTGGAGGGAGGAGGGAAAGAAAACAGGCACTACTTGGTAGGATATGGGAGACAGGAGGAAGGAAAGAAAACAGACTCTACTTGGTAGGATATGGGAGTCTGTGGAGGGAGGAGGGAAAGAAAACAGGCACTACTTGGTAGGATATGGGAGACAGGAGGAAGGAAAGAAAACAGACTCTACTTGGTAGGATATGGTAGTTAGTTTGAGGGAGGAGGGAAAGAAAACAGGTAAGATATGGGAGACACTGAGGATGTAGAAAAGTTTGGTTTCAGGTGTGTATATAGTGTCTGTGGTGGGTTATACTGTAGATCACTTACATTTTGGGTGGTATCTATTTTCCCGGTAATATAGGAATAAAGCCAATTGTGAATTCAAGTTTCTCACGATAATTTGTATAAATCTCATGATAACATCCTTGTTATTCTGTCGTTTTTTCTTCTATTTATACTTTCGTTCAATTTATATAATACCTTATTATATTATCTTCTAGGCATATATTCCTTTCAAATTTAAACATCTTTTGAAATCTGTACTTTTAAATGACATCCTGTATTGCTGACTGTAGATTTTCACATAATGGTGCCATTCAATACATTCATAAAGATATAGGTCAGAGGTTAGAGGTCAAGTATGAGTGCCACAATAGATATAATTGTAAACCTTCAATGTTGTTTTTATATTGGAAAGGTGCTGACATATTCACAAGAACAGAGTTTATAATAGGCAAAACTTTTAATTAATTAAATTGCAAAATAAACAGCAGAAAAACTGTCGAAGACATTACCGCTTGGACAACTACTATGTAATTAGTAAGAAAAAACATGTTTTGAAGAATAATGTAAACACAGCATGAACTTGTCTGGCCTACGGAAGTTTTGTCATCTTTTTATGCCTACATACTAGTTTGTTCTTGAATTAAATGCAATTTAGTATGCAGTATGGACACCACATGTCTCACATGACTAAATCACTTTTCAAGGATAGTCACATGACTCTCAAAATGGCGGCTAATGTGAAGCTATAGGTTACCGATATATACAGCTTTTCAGAATCTATATCTCTAGTAGTTCATTATTTTTTAATTCAAAGCCATTTCTAGAGCAGCATTCGCAAAATCTTATTTTCGCAAATATGTCGGCAGAGGTGAGTACGCGAAATAAAGAATTCACAAAATTTAAATGATTTACAGTAACAACCATAGGGAAGCAGGAAAAATTGGTCCTTAGTCTAAATGTAGTGTGCATGTTATGCACACTGGGTACATTTAATGTACTGTGTTGATTTTGTAAGTGTTCTCTATATTGATGGCCAGATGCTGACTTTATATATGAGGAGCTAGGACCGAGACATTATCCAGGTATACAGAACTTTTTACACTGAAACCCTCTATTAATCAGGAATGTTGTATATATCCAGGCAGTTCTGTATCGTAGTGAATATCTGACATCATCTTCCTGTTGCATGAAAACAAGCAGGGATTTTCCTTTCATGTGTATATTGTCAAACTGTTTTTAGTTGAAAGCACTTTTCGTTGAAACTATGTACATGCACTTTTACCTTTTTTATCGACTTAAAAAAATTGTTCAAACTCAGTGTATTTGTAACAAATGTCTAATTTTGAAAAAATGATAAATTTCAGAGTACATTTTTCTTTGACAAACAGTGAAAGTTGGTAGTACAATCATACATTTTCCCAAATGTAATTTCTGAAATGTGTCTCAGGAGGCATACAATTATATTCGCAATGATGAAAAATTAATATTGTGATATCATTAACACTGATTGGTGACAAAACTGAATATTTCTCTGGATATTAGCCTGATCAGATTGGGTTTCTACTGTTGTTACATTACGTCTGTGCAAATGCAATCCTCCGTGTGCTTATGACCTGTGCATGTGATAGCTAAATAAACATATATTATTAGAGAATTGATTCTAAAGTAAGATACTAGAATTGAAAAATTTGCCTGTCTTAAAATATACATGACTAGAGTGCTTTTATTAAACACACTGCTTTATACAGAAATCTTTATTCTGCTGTGATAGTTCAATATAACCAACATACCAAATACAGGACTACAGTTGTGTGGGAACCTGTTCTCTGGTAGGTCTGATGTCAGTAGCATTGTTAGATTGGCTGCCTTCCTAATGTTTAGTGTATAATTGCCTAGCTTATTTTAATTACTATAACTGTAATTGGGCCTGCTTCACTGAAATATCTTGGAAAGGCAGAGATGTGCTTGTCATTTGTTCCGCAATAAGCAGAGTGATCTGTTAAACTGCTGTCCTTCCATTGCCTACATGTTGTCTGTCACCCATTTTTAAACAATAGTTTGGTTTGCCTTCATCCTTAGTTGGAGGAACAAAATGTCCCAGAGGCAGTCATCATACATTACGACAGTTATAGTTTATAAATGCCATTGCTTGGGAATTGTTGAATGGATCATTTCCGATTTTCATATTTCGGTTCCTCTTGGTTCCTGGTGTTGACTGTATAACAGTTAGACTGATCAGAAATGAAGCAGCTGACAGGCAGACATCTTGGACATTAAAATATTGTTATCACCATTTCTTGAGAATAGTGAATAGATCTTCTGTTTCTCAAATGTTATATGTATTGAAAGTATTGGTTAGAGTACAGGATAAATTTCATACAGTCAAGCCTGACTTAGGGGCCATCTTTATACATAAACCATCTTTATACACAAGCCATCTTTATATATAAGCCATCTTTATACACAAGCCATCTTTATACATAAGCCATCTTTATACACAAGCCATCTTTATACATAAGCCATCTTTATACACAAGCCATCTTTATACATAAGCCATCTATATCAAGGCCATCTTTATACGAAGGCCGTCTTTATACCAAGGCTGTCTTTATATCAAGGCCATCTTTATACCAAGGCCATCTTTATATCAAGGCCATCTTTATACATAAGCCATCTTTATACCAAGGCCCTCTTTATACCAAGGCCATCTTTATACCAAGGCCATCTTTATACATAAGCAGTTTTTCTAGAAAGGATATTTTAGTAGTTGCCTATGTAGTAAAGTTTACAATGTAATTTTCTATTTTTTAATATTGTAACCACATGATTTATGTAAATGCAAGAAGGATAAAGATCCAGCTGAAATTTAAAATCTTATGTTGGTAGACATACAAGCTCCTTATGGTATCTCTTATGTCTTCTACTGAAAAAGTCTTCAGAAGTAGTTACCTCCCTTTGTTACATTGGCAGAGAAGTTTTACTATGATTTTGACTGAGTAAAGGGAAGTAATTCATATATTCATAGTTTGCATAATATATAAACTCTTTTCATGGCATGTGACGTTTGATGGACTGACAATTGAAAATAATTAAAAATGAATTGAAAAGAAAAGAAACCAACAAATTGATGCAGAATCAAGAAAATGGTTAAAATCTGTTTTAATTTCTTAAAATTTAAGGTCTGTTTAAGGTTTAAGGGCGGTATAGAGACAAGAAATGATTCTACCACTGTTTAGTGTTTGTTGAGTGTACATAACTTGAATTTAATTGTTGTAAATACTTATATTATAGAGTTTAGACTTTATTATCAGTAAGAGAAATAAACACACAACTCAAACAATTTTTACAGTTGAGCTTTAAAACGAACAAAAGTAAATAATCAGACAGTTATATTCAGTCAGGTAATGATTACGAAAATTTAAGCAACTTCCATCACTACAAACAGACAGTGTAACAGACATAGTTCTTTCTTTGGTCTGTGGTACTCTTGTATCAAACATTTCAAAAACACTGACGTACAAGACACAATATATTTAGTCCACTATTGATAGCTTGTGGGGTTTTAAGTGATGGATGTGTTGATGAAAAGTCCAGTGAATGAGTAACCATTATCATCTTGTCTACTTTCAATGTAATATTAGTCTATATATTTATATGTAATCTGGCTTCTAATATAATGTTGTCTCATGTCTGATTAGTATTATAGCCTTGAGAAACACTATATCAGGTCAGTGCCAATACTGAAAGGGAAATGGTTTGGACTGTTTACTGATATTACAGGCATGGGAAAACTGTCTTGTTACTGTAATAATTCAAAAATAATGCAATATAGCCCTCCTCAAACTATTTAAAGGTTGACAAGAGGTCATACTGACCAAAGTTTGTCTGTTTACATCAGCAGTTGTGATCAGAAGGACCATCCATCATAATCGTTTGAATGCTTAGGCTTATTTTGATGTGCTATGCTGATTAACCGTCAAAAGTATTGACTGTCGTTAATTTTGTCAGTTGACCAGCTTGATATGATTTTCTTTGTAACCAGTACTTGTGGTACATTTACATTGAGAGGCAGGTAACAATTCCTATTAGTAGCTCAAATATATATCTATATATTTATATATATACATTGTTGTATCGGTATGATTAAAATTACTTACATTGTAACAAATGTACTTACAATATAGTTTGCAATATTGTTCAGTGTTATATGTATTGTTTTGTGTTATTACATAGTGTATGCTATTGTTTTGTGTTACTTTATACGTGTGCGATATTGATCTGTTACCATATAATATTTGGCATTTCCTGTGTTACTATATAGTGTATATGTTTCTTTTGTTATTATCAGTTTGCGTTGTTCTCTGTTACTACACAGTATGTGATATTGTTCTGTGTTACTGTATAGTGTGTGATATTGTTCTGTGTTACTATATAGTGTGGTATTGTTTTGTGTTACTATATAGTATGTGGTATTGTTCTGTGTTACTATATGTTCTATGTTACTATATAGTATGTGATATTGTTCTGTGTTACTATATAGTGTGTGATATTGTTCTGTGTTACTATATAGTATGTGATATTGTTCTGTGTTACTATATAGTATGTGATATTGTTCTGTGTTACTATATAGTGTGTGATATTGTTCTGTGTTACTATATAGTGTGTAGTCCTTTGGTATTATATAGTTTTTGCTGTTGTTGTCAGATACTATATAGTATGTGATATTGTTCTGTGTTACTATATAGTATGTGATATTGTTCTATGTTACTATATAGTGTGTGATATTGTTCTATGTTACTATATAGTATGTGGTGTTGTCCTTTAGTATTATATAGTTTTTGCTGTTGTTGTCGGATACTATATAGTATGTGGTAAATTTCTCAGTTATTCTTTAATATGATGTATCGTTCTTTGTTTCTCTACAATTATAAACAATATTTCACGAGAGGTTGATACCAGAATTGATCCACCTGAGAATAGTGACTTTCATAGAGTACAAAAGCCACAGTGAATATAATATTTCAAGGGTGTAAATACCCTGAATTGAACTAATGTGACATTAATAATCATTTTACAAAAGTCTTGATTAATTCTCCTTCAAAATTAGTGTTATCACTTATTGGATGTTTAATGACTCATTTTGCTATAAAGTATTTGCAAGCTCCTTTCCATTAGTAATAGTAAACCACCAATATTTCACAGTATCTAGCTTGGTGACATTGATATATGCCAGGTTGTTAGTGTATGACAGTCCACAAAACATTTTTACTTTAATTTGATTGGAAATCATCTACATCACTGTGTACCATACAGGGTAATCACTGTGTACCGTACAGGGTAATCACTGTGTACCATACAGGGTAATCACTGTACCATACAGGGTAATCACTGTGTACCATAAAGAGTAATCACTGTGTACCATACAGGGTAATCACTGTACCATACAGGGTAATCACTGTGTACCATACAGGGTAATCACTGTGTACCATACAGGGTAATCACTGTACCATACAGGGTAATCACTGTGTACCATACAGGATAATCGCTGTACCATACAGGGTAATCACTGTGTACCATACAGGGTAATCACTGTACCATACAGGATAATCACTGTACCATACAGGGTAATCACTGTGTACCATACAGGGTAATCACTGTGTACCATACAGGGTAATCACTGTGTACCATACAGGGTAATCACTGTACCATACAGGGTAATCACTATGTACCATACACCATTCAGGGTAAGCACTGTGTACCATACAGGGTAATTACTGTGTACCATACAGGATAGTCACTGTGTACCATACAGGGTAATCACTGTGTACCATACAGGGTAATCACTGTAACATACAGGGTAATCACTGTACCATACAGGGTAATCACTGTGTACCATACAGGGTAATTGTTATGTACCATACAGGGTAATCACTATGTACCATAAAGGGTAATCACTATGTACCATACACCATTCAGGGTAAGCACTGTGTACCATACAGGGTAATTACTGTGTACCATACAGGATAGTCACTGTGTACCATACAAGGTAATCACTGTGTACCATACAGGGTAATTACTATGTACCATACACCATACAGGATAATCACTGTACCATACAGGGTAATCACTGTGTACCATACAGGGTAATCACTGTGTACCATACAGGGTAATCACTATGTACCATACAGGGTAATCACTGTACCATACAGGGTAATCACTATGTACCATACACCATTCAGGGTAAGCACTGTGTACCATACAGGGTAATTACTGTGTACCATACAGGATAGTCACTGTGTACCATACAGGGTAATCACTGTGTACCATACAGGGTAATTACTATGTACCATACACCATACAGGGTAATCACTATGTACCATACAGGGTAATCACTGTGTACCATACATGGTAATCACTGTGTACCATACAGGGTAATCACTGTGTTTCATACAGGGTAATCACTGTACCATACAGGGTAATCACTGTGTACCATACAGGGTAATCACTGTAACATACAGGGTAATCACTGTACCATACAGGGTAATCACTGTGTACCATACAGGGTAATTGTTATGTACCTTACAGGGTAATCACTATGTACCATAAAGGGTAATCACTATGTACCATAAAGGGTAATCACTGTGTACCATACAGGATAATCACTGTGTACCATACAGGGTAATCACTGTGTACCATACAGGGTAATCACTGTACCATACAGGGTAATCACTGTACCATACAGGGTAATCACTGTAACATACAGGGTAATCACTGTGTACCATACAGGGTAATCACTGTGTACCATACAGGGTGTTTAATCTCTGTAACATACAGGGTAATCACTGTACCATACAGGGTAATCACTGTACCATACAGGGTAATCACTGTACCATACAGGGTAATCACTGTGTACCATACAGGGTAATCATTGTGTACCATACAGGGTAATCACTGTACCATAAAGGGTAATCATTGTGTACCATACAGGGTAATCACTGTGTACCATACAGGGTAATCACTGTACCATACAGGGTAATCACTGTACCATACAGGGTAATCACTGTGTACCATAATCATTATAATAGAACTAACCACGTTATAGTGATCTGTTTTACACATTAATCACTGTACATATTTGTACAAGACATTTAAATCACTATGACGATGTGTCACGATATATTGTCCTATTCACTTCTGATTATGATACAGATATATACAGTTGTTAAATATGTATTGTTTTGTACTAACCAGCCATGTGTTGTTGTCTTCTACAGTTAATAGACCTCCTCTCAATAGATCCCCATATATAGACATCAAAGATAAGAGAGCGGACAAGATGGCGTTTGATGAGGTAGGAGTTTCAGTAGCGTTACATTGAATAATGATTAAGTTTAACTAAGTTTTGTTTTTAATGTAAATGAAAATAGTTGTATTTTTTTGTTGGGTTAGTCACCCAGGGTCATTTTAAGGTAGGGTCACTTTACATTAGCTGGTGGTGACCCCATTGAACAACATATAGGAGGCACATCACATGTCATTCAGAACAGTTAGAGTAAAGTGTCACCCCACTGACATAATCACATCAGTACAAACTAGCCCTGAGTTCCCCGAGAAGCACAAACCGTGAGGAAGCTGAAAAATGGTCTGTCTGTGTTTTATTTGTCTGTAAGGTCATTAAAGTCAAAGTCACAAATTACTTACTCTCATTTGTTCTATTTACCTGGATGGCATGTAATGGGCTGGGTGTCCCTCTGTGTTGTTTAGTAAGGTAGCCGCCTACATGGAAACATAGCCTTATAATGAATATGGTAGTTAATAAAGCCATTGTTTAATTATTGAACCATTTTATTATCCGGTAATATGGCGGACTAATGAGTTCTAGAGTTCAGATATTTGACATTGACCTCATTCAAGTCAAATCAGACTTCCTCGTGTGACAGTTTTTCCTCACTAAAGTTGACCAAAATTTGGACTGGAATGGAGCTCTATGAAATTTGTTATCCATTCAAAGTAATGTGGTGATAGAATTGTACAGCAGTGATACGTCTAGTACTAGACTTATTTGATCAATCCATTGAGCTGTATTGGATGACTTACACGAACTAGGCTGAAATGTTACAGTTTACAATGGTAAAGAGGAACACATAGGATATTAGATTTATAGTGATGCAATTGTAGATGACAATGATGTGAACCTGATATTGAAGTTAAAAGATCCTTAGTATTGGTAAATCAGATATGGGTAAGGAAATAAAATTTTCAGTGTGTAAAACACATCTGCTGTATATTCTCACTAGATTTACATGATAAACTTGGTGCGAAGACCAGAACGGCGAGAAAGGATGCTCAAATCTCTGAAAGAATTAGCCATTGAGGTGACCATCTTTGATGCTGTTGATGGAAGGTAGGTCGTCATTAAAATAAATTTCAAAGTTAAAGTTTAAATGCTTTAAATGGAGAGAGAAAAAAAATCTTAATCTTCATTTTTCCAACATCAAAGTGTGTGGAATTTTAAAACCATTTCTGTGTGGATTTTTAATGTGATCTGATGATCCATAATATTATTATCAATAACTTTAGATAGCTTGCGACATTTCTTTCTACGGTTGTGATCTCTGAGAGGTAATGCTTTCTGGATTTGGTAATTGTTTTGGGTTTATAGTGGAAATAAAGCCATAAAGTTTTTGGTATTTTCTTGGATACAATACATAGTTATCTGATGGTGTATTACAGAGAGCTGAATGCCACCTACTTAGACAAGCTGGGGGTTGAAATGATGGACGGATATGCTGACCCTTATGCTGGCAGGTAACTATACCAAAAAAATTGTACTGTTAGACATAATTACTTCAAAATTGATTGACATGATTTTTTAACACATATTTCATATAGAATATAATTATAATAATGGCAGCTTTTTTTATTGAGTACTTTCAGTAAGGATCAACAGAATGGGTAAAATTTCTGATCTCCTTTCCAACTTTATATAGAGTTAAGGCCCTTTGTTTATCTAGTGCAACATTGCCCAGTACATGATCTTATACGGCTTTACAACTACTGCTGTCAAATAACAGAGAGATATATACTGTAAACAAATATGGTCATATAGAGAGTAATGGACATTTCTTAATTTTAAAAATTCACATCTCCTTTCATGTGTTATCTACTACATATTATGTACTGAGACTATTTTGGGGCAAATATGTCTTGATGGCAGAGCACTGCATACTGAAATTTGATCTCTTTCCCCACTTTATGTCAAGTTATGGCCCTTTGTGCATTTATTTTGTGCTCCAGACTGTCAGTGTAGATCTGAAGTGTCATCAGTTCAGATGTGTAATATTATACCAATTTTACGCATCTAATAATGCTCCTGCTCAAACGGTCAGTGGTACTGCCCACACCAGTACGATTTTCATGTTGTTTTTCAGAAAACTGACGTTGGGAGAGATAGGATGTTTCCTGAGTCATTACTTCATCTGGAAAGAGGTATATATTTATGTCAGGCCATTTTGTGAGGGGCATGTAGTGTTAACAATGTCCATCCATCTGTTCCATCACATCCATTCCGTTTTCATGACATATCTCATTCCAAATCAAGGTCATGTAGATTGAGATCATTTTTTCCCCCTATCATATCCTAGCATGATACACATTCTACAACTGATCAACTTCTGGTTTGTTTTAGCACCTTTTTTCTTTGGTATTTTACTAGAGGTCCTACTCTCTGTTTGATAATGTAAATTGTTTATATAAGCCACTTACATCTGTCCTGTACTTTAATTTTCTTTACTATGTACATGTCATTACCTGTAACTTCCGTAGGTAATGAATGGAACATATATAAGTAAACAGTATTACAGTACTGAGATAAAAAATTGTTATTTACATATCTGTTTTTTTTTATTCTTGTCCAATCCACTGGAATCTGTCTCTAACAATTAGTCATAAATAGTATGACCTTTTGAAGTTGAAAGCACTTCCAAAATATGTCTGTTGTGATTTGATTAGTGGCACGCCTGATTAAAACTTCCTTTGATTGTCTCTTTAATATAACCCCACCATCTCATTACACATTTGCCTGGAATTATGGTGTGTTTCAGTTATAAGATAATTGTCCCTTTCTTGTGAAAGTAATTTCATGGCTATGCATATTATACATAGTACTGGCCCAGTATTAGGATATATAATACAACTGCATACATTATTATACATAGTACTGGCCCAGTATTAGGATATATAATACAACTGCATACATTATTATATATAGTACTCGCCCAGTATTAGGATATATAATACAACTGCATTATTATACATTATATATAATACAACTGCATACATTATTATACATAGTACTAGCCCAGTATTAGGATATATAATACAACTGCATACATTATTATACATAGTACTGGCCCAGTATTAGGATATATAATACAACTGCATACATTATTATACATAGTACTGCCCAGTATTAGGATATATAATACAACTGCATACATTATTATACATAGTACTGGCCCAGTATTAGGGTATATAATACAACTGCATACATTATTATACATAGTACTGGCCCAGTATTAGGATATATAATACAACTGCATACATTATTATACATAGTACTGGCCCAGTATTAGGGTATATAATACAACTGCATACATTATTATACATAGTACTGGCCCAGTATTAGGATATATAATACAACTGCATACATTATTATACATAGTACTGGCCCAGTATTAGGATATATAATACAACTGCATACATTATTATACATAGTACTGGCCCAGTATTAGGATATATAATACAACTGCATACATTATTATACATAGTACTGGCCCAGTATTAGGGTATATAATACAACTGCATACATTATTATACATAGTACTGGCCCAGTATTAGGGTATATAATACAACTAGATACATTATTATACATAGTACTCGCCCAGTATTAGGATATATAATACAACTGCATACATTATTATACATAGTACTGGCCCAGTATTAGGGTATATAATACAACTGCATACATTATTATACATAGTACTGGCCCAGTATTAGGGTATATAATACAACTGCATACATTATTATACATAGTACTCGCCCAGTATTAGGATATATAATACAACTGCATACATTATTATACATAGTACTGGCCCAGTATTAGGGTATATAATACAACTGCATACATTATTATACATAGTACTGGCCCAGTATTAGGGTATATAATACAACTGCATACATTATTATACATAGTACTGGCCCAGTATTAGGGTATATAATACAACTGCATACATTATTATACATAGTACTGGCCCAGTATTAGGATATATAATACAACTGCATACATTATTATACATAGTACTGGCCCAGTATTAGGATATATAATACAACTGCATACATTATTATACATAGTACTGGCCCAGTATTAGGATATATAATACAACTGCATACATTATTATACATAGTACTAGCCCAGTATTAGGATATACAATACAACTGCATACATTATTATACATAGTACTGGCCAAATTAGGATATGTAATACAACTTCATACATTAGCATGTGCTGTAGATAATTACAAAATGACTGTGATAAATATCACTTTTGTATAAGTTATTAGCATTGTGCTCCATGTATTTTAATTTGTATCTTTGTGCTGTAGTTTTGGCCAGTTTGAGATACTTTTGCTATATTTCTGCTGTATGTATTACTCTGCATAAATTAATACTGTATATATTTACTGTTTGTACACAGAAAAGTACGTTGTTTTATTTCAGATCCTTGACAAAGGGTACAAAAATGCACTGGTGTTTGAGGATGATGTAAGGTTTGAGCCATACTTCAAAACAAAACTGCAGCGTTTACTTGAGGAGGTGGAAGAAAAAGTACCAAACTGGGACCTAATGTAAGTACCATCAGGGTAACCAACAGTGACACCTACCAAAACCCAGAAGTTGAAACTTTATAAAAACAATTTTTTTTATTGCTATCAAATCCAATTGATCACAGTATGATACTGACTGAAAGGCATTTAAAGATTTTAACAAAATTGACCCTTGTGACCTGAAAAGCAGGTCAAGGTCATTCAGATCATGTAAAAAATAGAGTCTCTATTTCCTGTAGAACTTTTTTTGAACTTTGATACCCAAAATAATTCTTTTGAACTTTGACCCCTTCTGAAAATCGTAAGACTTTGTTAATATTATTAGTGTCGTCATATAACCATCATATTGTTAGAAATTACAGTGTTAAGGAGAATCATATAATATTTTGAGGTCCAGTTCCTTCTCTCTGTCACTGCTACGGTTCACTTGATCTACATTTGTGCTACACTTTTTCTGAATTACATTTTAGCTATCTTGGCCGCAAGCGATTAAAGTTATCGGAGGAGACTTACGTAGAGGGATCACAGACACTGGTCTGGCCTAGTTACTCTTACTGGACACTCAGCTATATACTGTCTGACCGCGGGGCCATGAAACTTCTCCAGCAGGAACCTCTCAGTAAGATGATACCAGTGGATGAGTACCTCCCCATTATGTTTGACAAACACCCAGAGTGAGTATTGCTCTCAACGTTTCTGTTTGTGAATTCTGCAATAAATCAAAGCTAATAGTCATAAACCATGATATTGTTCTCCATTTGTGGCAGATAGTGTGTTGTTATAGTTTCTGAGTACAAATATCTTCAATACTCTGCCTCCATGTTAACACAAATATCTCCCAAACTCTGTCTCCATGTTAACACAAATATCTCCAAACTCTGTCTCCATGTTAACACAAATATCTCCCAAACTCTGTCTCCATGTCAACACAAATATCTCCAATACTCTGTCTCCATGTTAACACAAATATCTCCAATACTCTGTCTCCATGTTAACACAAATATCTCCAATACTCTGTCTCCATGTTAACACAAATATCTCCCATACTCTGTCTCCATGTTAACACAAATATCTCTCTCCATGTTAACACAAATATCTCTCAAACTCTGTCTCCATGTTAACACAAATATCTCCCAAACTCTGTCTCCATGTTAACACAAATATCTCCTAAACGCTGTCTCCATGTTAACACAAATATCTCCTAAACTCTGTCTCCATGTTAACACAAATATCTCCCAAACTCTGTCTCCATGTTAACACAAATATCTCCCATACTCTGTCTCCATGTTAACACAAATATCTCCCATACTCTGTCTCCATGTTAACACAAATATCTCCCAAACTCTGTCTCCATGTTAACACAAATATCTCCCATACTCTGTCTCCATGTTAACACAAATATCTCCCAAACTCTGTCTCCATGTTAACACAAATATCTCCCATACTCTGTCTCCATGTTAACACAAATATCTCCCAAACTCTGTCTCCATGTTAACACAAATATCTCCAATACTCTGTCTCCATGTTAACACAAATATCTCCCATACTCTGTCTCCATGTCAACACAAATATCTCCCATACTCTGTCTCCATGTTAACACAAATATCTCCAATACTCTGTCTCCATGTTAACACAAATATCTCCAATACTCTGTCTCCATGTTAACACAAATATCTCCCAAACTCTGTCTCCATGTTAACACAAATATCTCCCAAACTCTGTCTCCATGTTAACACAAATATCTCCCATACTCTGTCTCCATGTTAACACAAATATCTCCCAAACTCTGTCTCCATGTTAACACAAATATCTCCCATACTCTGTCTCCATGTTAACACAAATATCTCCCAAACTCTGTCTCCATGTTAACACAAATATCTCCCATACTTGGTCTCCTTGTTAACACAAATATCTCCCATACTTTGTGTCCATGTTAACACAAATATCTTTCAAACTCTGTCTCCATGTTAACACAAATATCTCCCATACTCTGTCTCCATGTTAACACAAATATCTCCAATACTCTGTCTCCATGTTAACACAAATATCTCCAATACTCTGTCTCCATGTTAACACAAATATCTCTCAAACTCTGTTTCCATGTTAACACAAATATCTCCCATACTCTGTCTCCATGTTAACACAAATATCTCCAATACTCTGTCTCATACTTTGTGTCCATGTTACACAAATGTGTTAAAACTCTGTCAGAATAAATTTACATTTAAGACCAATTCTAGAGAGTGTTTTGATTTAATAGATGTAAAATGTGAAATTCTGAATAAATTTACATTTAAGACCAATTCTAGAGAGTGTTTTGATTTAATAGATGTAAAATGTGAAATTCAGAATAAATTTACATTTAAGACCAATTCTAGAGAGTGTTTTGACTTGATAGATGTAAAATGTGAAATTCAGAATAAATTTACATTTAGGACCAATTGTAGAGAGTGTTTTGATTTAATAGATGTAAAATGTGAAATTCAGAATAAATTTACATTTAAGACCAATTCTAGAGAGTGTTTTGATTTAATAGATGTTAAATGTGAAATTCAGAATAAATTTACATATAAGATCAATTCTAGAGAGTGTTTTGATTTAATAGATGTAAAATGTGAAATTCAGAATAAATTTACATATAAGACCAATTCTAGAGAGTGTTTTGATTTAATAGATGTAAAATGTGAAATTCAGAATAAATTTACATTTAAGACCAATTCTAGAGAGTGTTTTGATTTAATAGATGTTAAATGTGAAATTCAGAATAAATTTACATTTAAGACCAATTCTAGAGAGTGTTTTGATTTAATAGATGTAAAATGTGAAATTCAGAATAAATTTACATTTAAGACCAATTCTAGAGAGTGTTTTGACTTGATAGATGTAAAATGTGAAATTCAGAATAAATTTACATTTAAGACCAATTCTAGAGAGTGTTTTGATTTAATAGATGTTAAATGTGAAATTCAGAATAAATTTACATTTAAGACCAATTCTAGAGAGTGTTTTGATTTAATAGATGTAAAATGTGAAATTCAGAATAAATTTACATTTAAGACCAATTCTAGAGAGTGTTTTGACTTGATAGATGTAAAATGTGAAATTCAGAATAAATTTACATTTAAGACCAATTCTAGAGAGTGTTTTGATTTAATAGATGTTAAATGTGAAATTCAGAATAAATTTACATTTAAGACCAATTGTAGAGAGTGTTTTGACTTGATAGATGTAAAATGTGAAATTCAGAATAAATTTACATTTAAGACCAATTCTAGAGAGTGTTTTGACTTGATAGATGTAAAATGTGAAATTCAGAATAAATTTACATTTAAGACCAATTCTAGAGAGTGTTTTGATTTAATAGATGTAAAATGTGAAATTCAGAATAAATTTACATTTAAGACCAATTGTAGAGAGTGTTTTGATTTAATAGATGTTAAATGTGAAATTCAGAATAAATTTACATTTAAGACCAAATTCAGAAGAGTGTTTTGATTTAATAGATGTAAAATGTGAAATTCAGAATAAATTTTTTAAGACCAATTCTAGAGAGTTTTTGAATTAATAGATGTAAAATGTGAAATTCAGAATAAATTTACATTTAAGACAATTGCAGAGAGTGTTTTGATTTAATAGATGTAAAATGTGAAATTCAGAATAAATTTACATTTAAGACCAATTCTAGAGAGTGTTTTGATTTAATAGATGTTAAATGTGAAATTCAGAATAAATTTACATTTAAGACCAATTCCTAGAGAGTGTTTTGACCCAACCCATGTAAAATGTGAAATTCAGAATAAATTTACATTTAAGACCAATTCTAGAGAGTGTTTTGACCATTTAATAGAGAGTGTTTTGATTTAAATGTGTGAAATTCAGAATAAATTTACATTTAAGACAATTGTAGAGAGTGTTTTGATTTAATAGATGTAAAATGTGAAATTCAGAATAAATTTACATTTAAGACCAATTCAATTTAATAGATGTAAAATGTGAAATTCAGAATAAATTTACATTTAAGACCAATTTACACTTGTTTTGATTTATCATAACCACCATATGTTTTTGAGATTTTTTTTTTTTATTAGTTGAATGAGGGAGGATGGATGTGGAATTTTTTGGTGCTTCTGTAAACTGAATAAGGACTGTTCACTTTGAAAATATTTTTGCAGTACAATCATGATTTTGTTACAAACCTGCTAAATCAAAGTTCTGTGTCTTTTTTGATATCTATTCATACTTTTGTTTCCTTGTCATGTATGAAATTCAAAATGTCATTGTCTTATAAGACATCTAAGTGGGGCCAATCTTCCATAAAGACATGTGTCCCGTTTTATCATTAGCGGACCAGAGCCTTGGTGACTTGGGTACATTGGAAAATTTCAGGATAACACCATTATGATGTCCTTATACTCCTATTTCACCAGCTGATAGTTATATATCTATGGCTGATACTATAGATGTACCTGAGGCTTTTGTCGTTTTCTACCTGATAAAGAGGATCTGCAGATTTCAGATTTTATTGTCATAGTTGTATGAATGTAAACAAATATATTGGTTCTGTTCACCTGTCTTTTTCTGTACATCCGTCCATACATGTGTGTACTTCAATTCTCTCTGAAGGTTTGATGGACATGAATTTCCACACTTAAGCATGAACTTTGTGATGAGTGGAGAGGTTCACAGAGGTTCAGACCACAAGTCTACATGTTAAAGTTGGAAATCCATGTCTCCCACCCACCTATTTTCTCCCACCTGTTTTCTCCCACCTGTTTTCTCCCGTCTTTTTCAAAGGATTTAGTAAAAAAAAAAATCCAGCAATATTCATTTCAAATGAGATTGAAAATGTAGATTTTCTGTGCTGTGTAAATTGACTTTGATAGACAATGTACTTGAAGAATGGAAAAAAAAGTGGTATATTAAAAACGTGAAATACATCCAAAAAAAAATCAGCAAATTTGTTTCCATGAGGGAAGGTCAGTTGCCTGCAGTATTTCATCGCAAATGTTTTCTTCTGATCAAATACCTTAGAAAAAATAGGAGGTACCTCATTTCAAACCATTTAGCAAGACAATTGATATCTCTGAACCACTTTAAAGGAAATTTCAGGCACTAGTTTCACCTTGGTGAGAATGATCTGGGATGTCCCAGGGGACGGTCATACAAGTGGGAGAAGTTGATACTTAATGTTGTTTGTTTATTGGTAATCAGGTATTTGTTCATTATTGTCTTTACCCTTGTTTCACTCTGCCACTTTAATTTTCCTCTGTATTGTCACTTACCTGTGTCCAGGTATTGGTTCCCCCTCAGTGTCCAGGTGCTTATTCATCCTCATTATCCAGGTACTTATCCCTCCCCAGTGTAGGGGTACTTATCCCTCCCCAGTGTCCAGGTACTTATCCCTCCCCAGTGTAGGGGTACTTATCCCTCCCCAGTGTAGGGGTACTTCTCCCTCCTCAATGTCCAGGTACTTATCCCTCCTCAGTGTAGGGGTACCTTTCCCTCCTCAGTGTAGGGGTACTCATCCTTCCCCAGTGTGGGGGTACTTATCCCTCCCCAGTGTAGGGGAACTTCTCCCTCCTCAGTGTCCAGGTACTTATCCCTCCTCAGTGTAGGGGTACCTTTCCCTCCTCAGTGTCCAGGTACTTATCCCTCCTCAGTGTAGGGGTACCTTTCCCTCCTCAGTGTAGGAGTACCTTTCTCTCCCCAGTGGAGGGGTACTTATCCCT